TTTTGATAAAATTTTACATACAGATAAACCTCATTAAATACACTTAAAATTTTATTTTTTAAAAAAATATAAATATTTAAAAATAACATTCATTTAAAATATTAAAATGAGATAGGGATGAAAATTAAATATAGAGAAAAATGATAACATTAGAATAAACCTATTTAACAAAATTTTAATTTTCTTAAAGCGTTTTATATTTTAAAACACCAAATTTTTCCTAAAAGTATATTATAATAAAGCATATTGATATTTAAATTGTGTGTGTATTAAATTTCAACCGGGAAAAAGCTTCTATAATATAAAAAATATTATTTATTTTTCATATGCATAGGATGAGATATGTTTTATAAAATAAAACATGTTTATATTTTAAATATGTATGAGAGTAATAAATTGTAAATTAATTTAGAACGTGTTTTTGTTTAAATTTTAATTTTTCTGTGGGTATAACATTTTCTGAAATGATGAATTATTTTTTATATTTTTAATAAGTATGGCATCGTGAGAAAACAAAATCTAAAGTAATTTTTGTAAAAAAAATGGGAAAATAAAATATATTGCTTATATTATTAAATACTAAAATATAACAAAATTCAACTTACACAAATTTTAGAAAGGTAGGAGTTTGAAATATTAAATATCACAAAATAAGTATTTTTATAATAGAATCTGTTCCTTTACTTTTTTATAAATACCAAGTAATAAATTATAGAATAAAATAATTTTTTATTTGTATTTAAAGTATGCACAAGAGTGATAAAATATAAATGATAATAAATTATTATATTTAAATTTTCTTAATATGAATATTTAACAAGCCATAAATACGTTACATATATTTTAAATAGAACAAGTTGTGTAGATTTTAATGTTCAAGGGGATAGGAAATTATCAAATAAATACGTTGCATATATTTTAAATATGTATTGAGTGATAAATTTTAAAATAGGACATATTATTTAAATTTTAATTTTTACGATGTACACTGTTATTATTTATATCTTTTAAATAAATGGAATAATCAATTATAAAATAATATGTGTAAGAATAAAAAAATGGTTATTTATTCTTGTCTTTTAACATATCCTCATGAAGGAATAAAAGTAATAGATATTTATGTCTTTATTGCTATATTATTTTTTATAATTGCTTACATAATTTCATTTTACTCCCTCTAAATATTATTATTTTTATAAATTATTGAATCACTATTTGCTACATATTTAAATTTTATTAATTTTTAATATCTTTGTGTATCACACGAGTGTAAAATTGAATTAGATGTAAAAATTTATACTCTCACAACAACACTTTTGAAAGTGACATTTCTTTCATTATTGTTGAAAAAAAAATGATTATGATTTTAGGTTGGAAGCCAAGATGAACATTTTCCTGTTTAGTTTTCAATTTATCAAAAAATCTATTAAAGAAAAATTAATTTAGTAAAAAATCAGTTATTGTAATGAAATTTGTGTTTGGATATATTTTTTTAAAAATTAGTTTGATACACTAAAATTTATTTAGATTGTGATAGTAAAATATATTTTTAAATATAAAATTATTAAAAAGAACATTGATTTATGATTATTTGTAATTTTTATTATATAAATATAATATATTTAAAAAAATTTAAAAATGTGATAAAAATTTTAAATTTAAAATGATTAATTATTAAATTTATAATGCTAAAAACTTGATACCTAATTATTATTATTGGAATGATAATTATATTTTAAATTAATTATTTTTTAAATAAAATAATAAGAGATAAAACTTGGAGTAACATAGTCAAATAACATTCTACTTTTTAAATTCACTTTTTAAAAACTTCAAATGATTATGCTTCTTAAATCTACTTTCAGCTTCTATTTAGATATATTTTCAGGATATGCTTTTTTTAAAATATTTTATCCAAACAACTTTCAACATTTTAAAAGTAAAATTTATTTTTTAAATTTAAAATGTAAGGAAATCAAACGGCCCTTAGATTTCGATATAATAGCATATGCATTTCAAATAGAGCCCATTTCAAACTTGTTGAATTAGATTGGACATTGATAGATATATTGATCAAATAGGAGATGCGGCTTGTTGTGATCAACTTGTGCTTGATGAATATGTCAATTGGATGAACGATTTTACCACATATTTTGGATTGCTTCTTAACATGGCTGCAGAACTATTAGATATCTTTAAATGTTTAGATCTTCGTTAGTTATGAAATTGTTCTAAAGTTAATGTCTATTGTGAATTGGGATTCTTAAAAACGAAGTTGAAAATTTAACTTTAAAGTCGGCTGTTTCAAGCCTCGCATTTTTTGTAACTTTAAACAGTTTTTTAATACAAAGTGCAATGAATAGTTGAATTTTACATTTATCACGCCACTGTTTTTTTTTTTTGGCTTTTTTATAAGTATAATGAGTAGATTTTATTGATGGAAGAGAATATTTCTAATGAGGTACTGAGAGTAATAAATAGATATCTTTCAATTAAATCCCTATGTATATAAATGTTGGGGTTTGCTATTACTTAAATGACTTTTTTTTTTTTTGGTAGGTTTTGATTGGTGAAAACTCTAAAGCCCAAAAAAATGGACTCAGCTTAATGATCAGTCCAAAGTGTTGGGCAGACAGATTTGTCTATCTTTGAAAGTGGGCTAATGGGCTAAAACGGGCTGTCCCAATAGTGGGCTAACCGATTTCCTCTTCTTCTTCTTCTTCTTTTTTTTTTTTTTTTCCTTTTTACTTTTAAATTTTGTCCGGGTTGAGCGCCCGTGTGTGTGAAAGCACGAGAGATTAATTGTGTTTGACGATTAACTGTAAAGGCTCGCAAATTTATTTAATTTTTAAGGCAAAATGACGTAGTTTAGCCTTTTAGGTGACAGTAAAAAAAAAAAAAATTGAAACAATATCAGACCTCAAATTTTCCCTCATGAAAGATAATGTGGCTTGTTGATCTAAATCTAAACTAGATTTAATGCCCATGAGATGTGGGAATGTTTTAGTATATAAAAGAAAAAGAATAAAAAATTTTAAAATTTTAAAATAATTTTAGAGCACTTATAATTTAAAGTAAAATATGTGTCATCTCTCTATTTTATCTTTATTATATATACTTCTTTTCTATTTTTAAAATTTATATAAACGTCTCTTAAAATTAATAGATACAAAAGAAAAGTATTCCTTATATTTTTAAGTTTGTATATTCGTCTACCTAGTTAAGTCACATATACTAAATTAAAATAAATTTTTGAAAAGTAAATGTCATATGAAAATTATTAATGTTACCCCAAAACATTTAAATGATATATGCTTTTAAATTTTTATTCATTTTGTAAATTTAATAATTATAAAACTTATTTATTTATTATTTTAAAAAATTTAAATGTATAAATATGTTAAAATAATATTTCCAATATGTATGTAAAAAAACTTAACAAAATATGAATTTTTTTTATTAATTAATGGAATATGAATTTAATATAATAAGAGATAGATTAGTTAACATAACTTCTGCTTATTTTTATTTTAAATTTATAATTTTATTAAAATAATTTTAAATTATTTCTTAAAACAATTAACTTTGTATTTTATTCTACAATTTACTATCTTATGCACATAAAATTTAAAAGTAATAAGTTATTTTATTTATAGTTTATTATTTTGATTAAGTTAAATTTTAAAATAAAACTCATCAAGCTATCCATGCATATTTTATACTTTGTCTAAATAAATTTTTTAATTTTATTATGTATCTAAAACATATATATTATTTTTACTGGGAATCTTACAGCCTCCATCAATTTTTGCTATGGTTTCTAAATGGTTTTTTAAAATATAAAAATGTTATTTTTTTACACCTCATCTAAATTTTTAAAATTTACAAATAAAGTTATCTATAGCCAAGATATTCTTCATGTGAAAATAAACTTTATTAATTAAATTATGAGTTTCACATTCATTTCAAATTCTTTGTAATAATATGCTCACACTCACTTTTCTTTGTCATAGGTTTCACGTACACTCACTTTTCTTTCAAATTTAATAAACATTTTATGTTTTGCCCTCTCCTCTCGTTTATCTTAATTTCAAATATTTCTATCCTATTTTAAAAAAATTGACTAAATTATGTCTTTAGTCCTTTAACAATGCACAAGTTTTTATTTTATTTTATTTTTATCAAGTAAAATTTTAAAATTCATTAACTCTATTTGAAAATTTAATAAGTTTTTGATTTTATTTTTATTAAATGTACATACTTTAATAACATGTTTTCTCTTTCTAATATTTAATGAAAGTTAAAAAGAAAAAAATTATAATAAAAATTTAATAATGTGATTTATAAATAGGATTAAAAAATTTAATATTTTATCTCTCTACCTCATAAATAGAACCAAAATGAGTAAGTGTTATTTAAAATCTATTTAAGTTACCCTCAAAACACTTTATGTATAAAAGGGAGTATGTGTCCATACATATTTTTCATTCTATGTAAATAAATTTTATTAATTAAATTACAGATCCACATTGATCTCATTTTTATTAAATGGTAGATCCCACATCTATTTCTTTTTTATTATGATCCTATATCTATATTTTTTTTTCGACAAAATATCTATTAACTATTTCTTAATCATATTTAAACAAAAATTAAAAAAATAGCAAAACACTATTCAAAACATTGTAGATCTACAGTGTTTTGATGTGCTTTATTGTATATATTGATGATGATTGATTGACTCATTTACTAAATGTTTTAGTTATAATTATAAGACTTTATTAATATTAAAAAATTATTAAAATATATTTCATCTTAAAAATTTAAAACATTTCTTACAATTAGATTAAGTCAAATGATTGTTGTATCCAGTATCCCTGTCTCGCGTTCTTTGAGAAACTTGGAATGTCAATATTGTTTGTTTTTGTTTTTATTTTTTCCCCGTCATTTAAACTATGTCGTTTGGCTTAAATCTCGAACATTCACAATTAATTAACTGTCAAATCTTTAATCTCCAGCGCTTTCCACCGTCGATGAAGAGGGAGCGGAGCCTCCTCCAGTCCTTCAACCTCCATCGCCTTCCTATGTTGTCATTCACGTCGTTGTTCTTGTTTCTTTGAGGTCGAGCAGTTCAATCAGCTCAACTGCTCAAGCATCCTCTTGTCGCTAATCTGGGTTCAGCGGGTGGAGCAGTTGAGCAAAATCTGTCCCTGGGTTAGATTTTGGTCTACTACTTTCAATTTCTTTGCCCTTTCTGGTTTTTAGTTTTTGTTGTTCCTGCACTGGAGAATGAAAAAGCTAGGAAGAATATTATCAGTTGAATATCAAAGTACTTGGTATTATTTCTTTTTAAATTCTGTTGCATTATAGGTTTTGGCAAAGATTGGCCAGTCATCAGCCCCTTTGATTTGCTCTCTGCTTTTGGAAGACGTTATTTACTAGACAGCTGTAAATTCCCGATTACCTTCAGCATCCTTTCTTGTTTAGAGATTTTGTAGTATATGATTTAATCTCTTTCACTGTTTTTTGTCAAAACATGAAAAAAAAAAAAATTCTTAACAAGAAGCTAGCCTTTTATAATGAAATTTATTATTAACTTTTATTTTTCTTATATAATATTTGTTATACATGAAATTAAAATGAAAAAAGATATATTAATTTAATTGTGACTGATTTCACCATGATTTGATACTTGGACTAGTGTAATGACCATTTTGTTATATTGTCTAGCAGCTTTCAGACTAGTAGTTCCCTCTTTCTATTGCTTTTAATTTGAATCTGTTACACTTCACTTTTGGGCCAGATGTAACATGTATGTTATGCAACAATAATTTGATACCTAAATTTATGCATTCGTTGTAAGTTTGGTGTTCATTTGTTGCAGGCTATCCAAATGGTGTGGATTCTGGTAACTGGTTGTCTCCTATTTGTATGGATAATTTCACTCTGCAAAGTTCTTCTTGTGGCACGCATGTGTAAGAGGAATTCTTTTAAGAAAAATGGTGGGTTTTTGTCCAAGGACTTGGGCTGCGTCTCTGTTAATTAATTAATTAGTTTATTGTTATTAATTTTTGTGGTGAATTGCATCTTTGTTGTTTGATTTAATTTGAAGTAGTCATTTTCTTCCTCATTTGTAATCAGGCAAAGCTCTTCGAAAGAGAAATATCTTGATGGTTATTGCCCATCCTGATGATGAGTCTATGTAAGTTTGACATCGTGATATCACTTGCATCTTTAATTCATTGTCATTGAGCAATTGATGTAAGTTCGAAATCATAATGGTACTTGCATCTTTAATTCATCGTCACTGAGTAACTGAGCTCTAAATAGCCACTGATCATTGTGTAACTTCTAGGTGCCAAAAGTTGTATCAAATTTGATGCATCTAATTCACCTGTTTTTTTTTTTTTTGGGATGATTTTCATTTTTATCAGTCACAGAATTATTAATATAGCAGTTTTTAGGCTGTCAGAAATCTAAAAAACGTATGGAAATGGTCTAAACATATTATTTCAAGCTGATACATGAAAAAATATAAGTCAAATTTCATAGGAAAGACTTTTGCATCCATGGAGAAAAGGTTTGTGGAGAAAATTTTAGATATTGAAAGAACGAAATGATATGGACAGGTGTGTACTACTGACGAATTGAACTCTTGTACAAGGCTTTCTATAGTTCTTCAGACACTAAAGATATAATAGAATAGATTGATTCTTAAGTCTGAGTTTGAAACTTTATCTGTACCATGAAAGTAAACTGATAATCAATATGATTTCATCAATATTTTGTTTTTATTTTTTTGGCCAAATGCGTATATGTCAATGCTTTGATTATACGATATAGATTTTCGTTTTTCCAATATATGGTTTCCAATTGTGTTGAAATTCTGCCTCCTTTCTGCAGGTTCTTCACTCCAACAATAAATTATTTGACTTCAAGAGGGCATTATATTCATATTTTTTCCTTATCTATTGGTAATTAACTTTGAAGTCATAATCAGCAGAAGTCATCAAGTAGTAAGATTTGTTAGATGGTAGGAGTATAACTTGACAGATATATATTAAACTGTAAGGAAAAATCTAGAGGCAGAAATTCCTAACGAGCAAAAATTTAACAAATTTAATGGGCTAAAGGAATTAAAATTTTCGTGGGGCTTTCAGTATCCAAGAATGAAGAGAAGGAAGTTCCCAATGCTACTCCAAGATTTTTGTCAATTTATTTTTGTCCTACAGCAGCCCAGTAAAATTAGAATTCTATTCATGTCTGACCATTAATATCTTTGGAAATTTAGTAATTGGTAAGGAAAATCAATATTAGGGACCTAGGATACTAATTGATAAACACTTTCTTTGGATCAAACCTCTTCTTGTTGTCACAAAGACAAAGCTTCAATCTGAGGCTCTGAGAAAGATAGATTTTCCTTCCCAGCCATTATGTGAGGTCAATGTCCATGTTCCAACCCTTTATTGTTTTCTTGATGTAGGCAATGCAGACAGTAAAGGAAACATTAGAAAACAAGAGCTCTTTCAAGCTTGTGCGACCCTCAAGGTAACTTACAATGTAGTTATGGTTTGAAATCGGATGTCAAAGCTTCTGAAATATATAAAATTGTCCCTGTCATGAAGTTATTTCATATTTTTTATCCTGTAGAATTTTTAAATGCTCATACCTTTCCAAATTGTAAGACAAAATTCATTGGTAGTCCCAGGCAACCTTTTTTCAGAGTGTTCTTTTAAACAAGATCAGCGTGGAAGATGCCAAGCAATTTTACGTGGGTGTTGTATGTTTGGCATGTGAAATTTTGTATGTAGGTTCCTATGCAACAAGTGAAGGTTGTGGACCATCGAGATCTGCAGGTTCTAATCTAATAATTGTCTTGAGATTACTAAAAGTTGTATCACATAAATTCCTGTTGTTTTTTGCTTTCATAGACATTGATTGACTTGTTATCATAACTAGGACGGATTTGGTAAAGTTTGGAACCACAACTTATTGGCAAATCTTGTCAAGGAAGAAATAACGAATCACAACATTGATATGGTAAGTTAATGATGTTAAATGAACTAAAGGTTGATTTTCTCTCCACTGTTGTCATTACTGGGCGTGGGAAAATATTTTGAACTCATGGGGTTCTTTCTTCGCTTTTCCTTGTTTTCAATTTGCCTAGATTATTACTTTCGACAATTATGGTGTTTCGGGTCATTGTAATCATCGTGATGTGCACTATGGGGTGTGGTAAGTTGAACTCTTTTTTTTTTTTTTTTGCCCCCAAAACAACTATTGATCAATCATAGCATAATTGACACTGGCAAAAATTGACAGGTATATCCTCTGTTCAGTTTTAGAAATTTCTTTTTTCAACATGAAAGGTTTTATGAAATTTGATGTATCACTATGAACCAGTTCTATGCTGCGGAACTCTTTGTCCATCTTCTCACTCTTTGCCATACTAACGATAACAAGACCCATTTTCAGATTTCAGTGCTATTTTGTGGACTGAAGATATACCTTGCTTGCTTACAATGCCTGATACTTGAGTGGGGCATAGAAGCTCATTTTCTAACGTCTATATCATTCTTCTCTCAGAATATGTGGATGTAATGATGTTCAAAAGTTCTTGTGAAGCTTTTGTGTTGTGGTTTTAAAGGGTCACTATTATAAAAATACTCGCCAATAGTACTTGGATGATCAATGGGAATTTCCAAGGAGATGATAGGTCATTAGAATGTTTACGTGATGATATGATTAATGATTTTCCTTATATGAGATTAATTCAGTTAACTTGTCAAATTTCAAATTTCTTTCATTTGACATTTATTGATTCTTTTTCATATGGTTTAAGCAGCAAGTTATTGTATGATATCCCATACAGGGACATTGAAGCCTGGGAGTTGGTATGTTTTCCCTTTTCCTTTTTTGTGGTGATTAACCGTTTCATAATGACATGTTCATTATGACATATTTGCTTGGCATCCCTCCATACTCTCAGGTTAGCACCAACATATTGCGCAAGTACAGTGGACCTATTGATGTTTGGTTGTCCATGTTTGTTGCTATGCTGCATTCAAACGAAACAATCCAGTTCTTGGTAAATGAGGATCCCTGTAGGAGCTTTCTTGCTATGGCCCAACACTCAAGCCAATGGGTCTGGTATGCATGCTTTTCCTTTTTGTTACCGGAAAGCAAAGACTCATCTTTATTTTGGAATTTTCTTTCCTCAATTTTTATTCTTCCACTTTGATCTTGGACCATCCCATACGGTACACACACCTTCTATGCTATAGCTATTTCACAATTTCGCTTAGATTTCCTTAAGGTATATTGTCCAACACGGAAGGTGTTGTTTGGGTTTGACTTGGCTTATTTTATAAATTTGTTAGTTTGAACATGCTAAACTTGCTCAGTTAAACAAGACAAGCAGGAGTGTTTTGGATGTTCAATTATTTTTAATTACAGATGTGTAACCTTTTTCTTAAATAGATAATAGATATATGAATTAGTTTGAGTCATTGTAAATTGTGAAAAAGTTGATGATTTCATTTCTGCAGGTTCCGCAAGTGTTTTGTAGTAATGTCGAGTTATACATATATGAACACACTTAGAAAGATCAAGTGAAGTTGCAACATAGAAAATATTATGTTGCCTTGTGAGGTTGGTGAGCAGCTCTCTAATCCATGCTTGATGCTATCCTATCCTGTTTAGTATTACAGCCAGCTTTATCACATATTTGACTTCTTGGTTACGGAGGACATTAGCTCTAGCCATGTCTTGTTGCGTGTCTCTCTTTCTCTTAAGCCCCTTTGCTTTGGAAATCAACGAGCAGTCACACAGTCATGACTGAAATATGGTTCAAGAAGCAGAACTCCTGATGCTGTTGTGTGACTCTCCTTTTTCTTGTGCCTTGTTTGAACGGAAGTTTCCACCTGTGCTAATTTTTCTCAAGCTGATTTAGTGTTGGATTAAAATTTTCGTAAGTTATGTTGGATTAAAAATTTTGTAAGTTAGAACTCAACTGAAATTAATAAATTAAGGTTAAAAGAAAAGTTTATAAATGGAGCGTGATTTATGTTAGATATTTCTTTTAGAAGTTAGCTGGATAAATTAAAATTTATTTAAATGATTTGATTTAAAATTTAGTTGAGGAATAATAACAAGAATATGAGTTTTGTTGTATATATTTTTATGACTAATTTAATATTTTTAGGGAAGAATTATAAACTTTAGATTGCAATTTTTTAAAAAAGGTGGAATGAAAAAGCTAAAATAACTTGGCAAATTAAAAAAATCTTAAATTTAAAAAAAAAATCAAATGAAGAGCAATACACCCACGTAGATATCGTATGAACCGTACACCTACATGTGAAGAAATGAAATATAAAAAAAATGATAATAATTTTTTTTAAATTATTTAAATGATATATTCATATCACGGAATGGTATAAATTTTTTGAAGTTTTAAGGGATGTTTTTGTTATTAGGGAATTATAAAAAATGACACTTTTAGCTTTTATTTAAATTAAAAAAATTTGTAACTTTTTATTCACAATTTTTATTTTTATATTAATAACTTTTATTTTTGAATTCACAGCAATTTATCAGCTATTTGCAAGTGTTGATAAGTATTAGGTGTTGAAAATTTATGATTTTTCATTCACAATTTTTGTTCTTATATTGATAATTTTTATTTTTAAATTCTCAATAATTTAATAATTATTTGCAACTTTGCATTTGCAGGTTTTGACATACATCATGTGTCAAAAATTTGTAACTTTTTATTTACAATTTTTGTTTTTAAATTCGCAACAATTCAATAGTCATTCATAACTTTAAATATGCAGGTTTTGATATGTATCAGATGTTAAAAATTTATAACTTTTTATTCATAATTTTTGTTCCTATATTAACAACTTTTGTCTCTAGATTCGCAATAATGGAACAAGAAATTATAATTTATCAGTACCCTCTGTAAATTAACTGAATCAGCAAAAATGAATTATCACTCTAATTTTAGAAATAATAATTTTTATTAATTTAAATGACAAGCAAATCTTAAAAAGTGATAAATATCTAAGGTTTGTTGTTAGTTATATGATATACAATTTATATCAAAATATCTTACAATCTTTTTGACAAAAAGATATGAAGAGTTAAATCTTTCAATGTTATCCTAACATATCAAACATTTTCATGCTAATCTAAAATAATAAAATAGTCATTTATCAACATGTCCATTTTTCAAACATTATAATCATATATTTGTTATGTTTTATTTAATAATAACTACTTTTCTTATATTTATAACTTTATATTGGTCATTTACAATTTTGATTTATGTATTTATAATACAACTAAAAATAATATATTATTTATCATTTATTCATGAGTAAGCATCTATACTCATGTGCAATAGAGAAAATTAAAAAATGAAAACCTCAATCATTTTTACATATTGACCCACATCAACTTCAATTATTACATATGGGAGGAGAAATTTTCAAGGAGAAGAAGAAACTTACCCACATACTACACAACTAACAGACGAACCTACATACAGAAACTTAAAGAGAAATAAGATGGACGAGAAAGAGATGGACTAGAAGAAGAGCGCGAACAAGAAAAGAGGCGAAGAACAAGAAGATGAAGCAGAGGCAAGAATACACAAGAATGGCTCTACATTGAGGCTTGAGATTTTTGTTTTATTTGAGGGCAATTTGGTCATTTCTTTTAATCTCTTAATGACAGAAAAATTCCATGAGATTCCAAAAAAATTATGCTATTTTGTGGGACTAATATATCATTTATATAATTTAAATGAATTTTTCTATCATTTTTTCATATAAAAAGAGAGAATACATTTAAAAAAAAAAGAAGGAAGAAAAATATGAAGGGTGTAAGGCACGAAGCCCCTCCTCTTTATTATCTTTCCCTATATCATATCATGTTAGCATTCCCTCTCTCCCCTATCAAAGCAATTCTTCATGCCAATGTCCCTTAGTGTCTGTTGATAGGGCACCTAGAGTGAGGCTTGGGACGAGCAATGGACAATATGGTTGCACAAAAAATTAAACAAGATTAGATTTTAACTTAATCTGAAGTCTCACCTTTTTTATGAAAATGATTGAGTCAGGAAACTCATAGTCTAGTCTATGTCAATTGTAATTTAAAGATTAGTAGGATTGAATTTAATTCATAAGATTGGGAGACTGGTCTTGATAGTCTAGTATTTACTTAATATTTTTTTTTCATTTTTCCTTTATGAAATGCAACAATTCATTTCATCATGATAGACTCAATTAAAATAAAAAAAATAATTATTAAAAATTCATAACAATTTCCAATAACAAAAAAATCAGTACAAATCTAAATGATTTAAATTCATAACTTTAACAACAACAACAACAACATTAAACAAACTTTAGTAACATGTCTAATGTACATGTGCATTACAACAATAATTTAGCAGCAAACCAAATTAAAATTATATTAAATAGAAGAATGAAATGTGAATGAAGGAGTGGCTTCATTCAAATTTTAAATTATTCAAACATATTAAAAGTAATAAAATTATATTAAAATAATTTCATAAAACCTAAATAGGCAAAATGGTTTAAGAGCTTGATCTCTTGTTTAGTCTAATCCAAGAAGTTGGTTTGATCTTGGTCTCTTTAGCCCTTTATATTAATTTTTTTATTGGATCGAGTTTGCTCGAGTTGGATAGGACAACCAAACTTTTGCACAACCCTACTGGGCAAGGGTCAAATCCAACGTGGTCTGAGCATGTGCCATTTTTTTGTTAATGATATTTATTATTTTTTTTGTTGAAAGTTACCATGAGCTATATTATTTTTATGATCTTTTAGACAATTTTTATCATTATAATATTTTTAAATCTCTTTCAAAATTTTAAATTTGTTTTTAACTCAATATTATGTAAAAAAATTGATAGTTATTGATTATATGTGGCTTTAAAAATTTTACTTTTGATTCTAATATTATTTTTTATCAAGAATATATTTTAAATGATAGTAATAACTTTTTCTAATCAATTGAGTCAAGCCCAACCCAAACATTTAGGCATCAAGCTAGCCCAAACCATATATCAAACAGGGCACCATGTAAAAGTGATGGTCGACCTGACCCTGCTTATGTGCAACCTTATGCACTAAGGAGCTCAAAGGAGTAACTTAAGTTGAAACGAGTTTTTATTTCAAAAAGCCCTTTTCAACAATTCTTTATCCAAAAACAAGAGTTTTAATCTTATAATGAATTTTTAACATTTTAACTGAAGTTTGGGACACCCAAATCTTGGTTAGGATGTCACCCAGACATGCTATTAGACATTGGAGATCCTTGTGTTGACAAAATAGAGCAATGGAAGTATTCCTTGCCGGTTACCTGCGAGCTATTAGTGAATGGCCATGACAATCCATTATGACTTAATCAATCTCTCTCGTACGTGTAAATTGTAAGGTGCCAATATTTTACTATATAGCTAATGTAGGATTTAGTAAGATTTGTCACTCGATACTTTTCATGTGGTGTGAAAAGGTTCTTTAGTTAGATTCTTTATCTAAAATTGTTTTATCGACATTCATAAATTTGAAAAATTTACATATAGTCTCATAAGAAGAACCTTCTGCTGTAAATAGTAGAACTCACCATATCTTCAAAAATGGGGGAGTGGTTCTGCAATACAAAAGAATTGGCATGTATCTCTTGCGAATTCACATGAATCGCAAAAGTTGAGAACTAATAACATTTCAAGACATAAAAGCACGTGAAGTTCTACTATTTGAAATCAGAAAAAAAAAAATTGAAAACACGTGGCAAAATTTAAGGAAATAAAAACAAATCATGTACTAAGAGCTAAGTTATACCCTTTCATGATCTGATATAATTAACTACTCAGTTGCAATTCATGAGGAAGGATGCTAGTTGATGGAGGACGACTGAAGAATCATCTAACTGGAGGTAGGAGAATATGTACTCAATGTTGAATTATGATACCATAAACGAATTACGCTATACTACCAAGATAACGTTTAAAATGGAAACAATGTATTGAAAACTGGGCCAATTATTAATTCAGTTCAGGAATAGTTCAATTGAGAGTCAAACCGATCATCATCAAAATAATAAAATTTAATTAAAATATATGAAAATATTTTTATTTGACTATAAAAATATTTAAATAAAAACACTAATCCTCCAAATATTATATAAAAATGTTAATTTGTAAGATATAACATTTTATATGTTGAAATGTATAAAATATATAATATGAAATAAAAATCAGTTTTATTTTTTAAAAAAGAACTAATAATAAAAAAAAGGAGAATTGTAAGATTAAAAAACAAAACATGATTGAAATTTGACAATAGAAAAATATCTCAGTTTTAGTTACTGTGCTCACCAAATTAAGAGATTGGTAATAATAATAATAATAATAATAATAAATAATAATATATTTTAAATATTATACTTCATCCGTTAAAAAATGTAAGGCATTTTTAATTGAATCTTACCCCCCAATAAAGTAGTCACTTACTTTCAAACTAATCATATTTTTTATATTTACCCTTGTTAAATACCCTGTAATAAATATAAAATTACTATTAATGGGGATACTTTTGAAAAAAATAATTATATCTTATATTTTTTAATATTTAACCCTTTAAAAAATATTTTATATTTTTTAATTGAGGTTGCATTTGAAAAGCTTCTCACTAGACATTTTATTATTGTTGTTGTCATTGTCGTTGAAATTGAAAAGTCAAGAAGCGGGCAACAAGTCCCAATAAAAGTATAGGTGTGAATCAGTGAATAAGAGGGAGTAGTTTATTGTCATTGATGTCTATGGATGTCTATGGACTGATTACATTTTCGGAAAAAATCAAAATATGGATCATTCTCTTCTTTTTTGGTTGCCGCTCATTTGGTTTCTCATCTTCGTGAAACTTCATTTTTTCTTTTTTAAAGAGAGGCATTTTTGCTCTTTCCGACCTCTTGCTCTGCCTTTCTCAAGCGTTGCATCAAATAGGTAAAGGTTGAACGAATTTCTCCACGCCAACAAGCTATCGAGGACCTAAGCAACTTTCAGCAAGTGAAAAAAAAAAAAAACGAAAGTTGCTTCACTGTTTCCTTTTCTTTCCTTCTTCTTCATTTCTTTTCTTATATGTTCTTATCATCTCTTCATCCCTTTCTTTCGATTCATGTTTGTGCCTCTATTCTTCCTTTTGGTTGGCAATTTTTTTTAAAATTTTTCTAGCAACTTGATAAACCAGTTAACCCAACAAATAAGTCAGGTTTTTTGGGTTAATCTCGAGTTAACGGGCTAAATCAGATTGCTTGAATCCTGGTTCACTATCTTGACCGAATTGACTGCTCAGACCGATAATTAGCAAATTAATCTTCCAGTTAATCCAATATAAATTTACATGCCATGAATATAAATGATGAATAAATAATGTGCATGCTCATTTTGTTGATTAATATATGTAAAAGCATTGTGTCCGGGGGTGGGGAAGAGTCTAACAATAACTTGTCAATCTTTGACTAATAAAATAAATTATGTATCCTATAACCAAAAAAAAAAAACGAGTATCCTAACAATTTAATTCAGAGCAGATTTGTCAATTCCGTGCTTTACCTGGCTATTTATACAGTTATTAGTTACAAACAATTTAATTCAATGAAAAGTTAAAAACCATAACAATTCTTAATTAATTTTTAAAGCATGCTTATCTATGCAATACATATCATTCGTATGAAATTAGCTCTCCAATTAGACAGTTAATTGAAATGCAGTTAACTTTTTAATACTAAAAAGGTAATATTATTAATAATTATCAAATAAATTTAGATTTTCTACGCACTAACTAGTTGATCATCGGATTGGATTTTCAATTTTTCATTGCGTATTTCGGTAATCTCTCTCTCTCTACACACACACACGCACACACAAAAGAGCGGGGCCCATGGCGCCACCATGGCAAGCATGTCACCGGGCGCTTAGAACACGTTAATCAACACTGTAACACCCCAATAGACATTAGATAGTAATGACGAGATCTCGTCCGTCTATCTCATCGTCCCCTTCGGTCCACGGCCGATCCCCGCCCTCAGATACGACAGAGCCCCACGCGGTGGCATTTTCGTAATTACAGCTTTTAACTCACAGCATCGCCCCCTCTTTCTCTCTTCCACATCGCAATATTTACACTGCTCTCTCGTATACTTTGCGGAAAACGTCTTCCCTTCGAATTGGCTTCTGTGCACGATCTCCTGGGCTCGTCTTCGAATTCGCTTCTGATCTCCAAGGAGTGTTCTCGATTAAAGCGAGTTACATCTCCAATCTGTGAAAATGGTGAGCTTCTTGTCTGATCTGTTCCTTCACAAGCGCTTCTGCATTTCTGACACCTTAGATCTGGAGCGAGTTGGCTTCGATTTGATGCTCTCTGATTATGTTGTTAACTCTTTTGAAACTCATCCTTCTCGAAATTTGAGACTCTTAATTGCTTTGTTAGTTTTGTGTTTTGGATTTCTGGGGGATCTATTGTCGAATTGTGCACTGACTTGTGTCTGTTTGTTTCTTCTTACGTGCTTTTGCAGCCTCTCAGGCTCGAAATTAAGGTACTGATGTTTTTTCTATTCGATTCAAGGTCTATGTTATATTTTGGGCTCATGTCTTATACATATGATGATGTTGCTGTGGTTGGTTGCTGAGAAATGCTTAACTTGTCAACGAGATTTGTTCATTTCGAGTTCTCAGTAACCAAGCACAGTGTGGATTCCTATTTTACTGATTACTTTGCTAACGTCTCGCTTTGCTATTTCATTGACAGCGAAAGCTTGCACAAAGATCAGAGAGAGTAAAGTCCGTGGATCTACATCCAACAGAACCATGGTAATCCTTCATCATTCGCTGATTTTGTTCGAAAGTTTTTCATGCGAAGCTAAATTGGAACCATCTTTTAATTTTCCCATTCATTACTAAAATCTATTATTGCCTTCTTAATTTGATTATTTCTCATGTGCGGCATCTGTGAGGACTTTGCCAATACAAATCGTGTGATTGTCAACGGGATTACTGTTGACATAGGATAGGAAAATATTACATCGCTGGGTATTTTGCTGAATTGTGTGATGTTGCCATGGTTATTGCAGGATTCTGGCAAGTTTATACTCAGGAACTGTCTGTATTTGGAACTACCAATCCCAGGTATCTGAAATTTTTTAAATTGAGATTCTGTGTATTGTTAAAACTTATAGCTTGTGAGTTTTAGCCAAAGGATAAATGTAATCATTATGGTGGATATGTATTACTGCAAAGCATTGATTCAAGGTGAATTCTCTACCAAAATAGTTTGCTGTAAGGTACATGACATATTTTAGTGGCTTTATCAAACTTCTGAAACACTTAATCATACGCAGCAGAATGCATTTTCTGGTGTGCCTTTTGCATTCTTCTGTTCAAACTGAAAGATTAGAATTGTGAAATTTATTAGTATAATTAATTACGGTGATTCTGGATTGCTACCCCATGTTCATTTTTATCAGGCCCTTAGGCACACATGCATACCTATGAACACAAGGTACAGGTGCGCTACTCGAATGAGTATTTGAGTAAAGAGGCAAATATTGTAGAGGACCAACATGTGTATATTTAGTTACTGTATAGTTAGAGCTTAAGAAGCCTGCCCTCATGAAAAAGAAACAGAATGACCTTTTACTTATTGTTTATGTTGGAGCATGGTTGGAAATTACTGTAGCATTTTGTGCTTCAATGCCTACTTTTTTGTGAGAAACGAAGAGATATTAATGCCATTAGAAAGAAACATGAAGAAACAGAATGAGGGCTACAGCCACCGGCATCAATGTGTACTTGACAATCGGTAGCCATGTGAAATTTAAGTAACCATAAATTGGAATGAATAGAATGTTATTTTCACTCCATATGTAGCATCTTCAAAATGACGCATACCTTGTCAAAATAACAAAGGCTACTAGTGGCTCCCTTCAACACAAATTGGTTGTCAGTAACGTGTATGTCACAGTATTTTTGGTGAGATTCTGTGGTCTAAAATGTTCTGAATGTTCTTAAAGTCTAGTTATGCTGTCAATGCAGTTGAAAATTTTGAAAATAGTATTTCGTTTGGAAGAATATTATGTTTGCCTTTTGTTTTATAAACTTTGCATGCTGTATTTGGTGGTTATGAGGAGGATTCGGTGGTTTTCTGATACTTTTCCTGCTTGACCTATCATCAAATCTTGATCCTAATGATCACTTGCCGTGCATGCTACATCTGTTTCTAGATTTAAACTAAAAGATGATAGTTTCCAATTTTTGAACTCTTCGTTTGCATTTTTCCATTTTTCAAAAGCCTTTTTGCTTTAAATTAGTCAGTTTTAATTTGTACGGGGAGTACTTAGCTTTTATGCTGTTCATGCTGTTTCAGACCATGGCCAAGTCTTTTGAGGTTACTGAGTTACCAGGTACGTGATCTTTATCTGTTTTATTCTTTCTAATTTTTTTCCTATTTTTCTCCTTGGAATTGTTTGAAGGTGTATCTTTTCATTATATTATTCTAACTTAAAAGACCACAATGGAGCTCATGTACAGCGTGATTTTGCAGTTAGGTCAGCCAAGTTTGTTGCACGCAAACAGTGGGTGGTTGCTGGAGCAGATGATATGTTCATCCGCGTATACAATTACAACACAATGGACAAAGTTAAAGTTTTCGAGGCACATACAGATTACATTAGGTGCGTGGCGGTTCATCCTACCCTTCCTTATGTGCTGTCATCATCTGATGATATGCTCATAAAGCTTTGGGATTGGGAGAAAGGCTGGATTTGTACTCAGATATTTGAGGGGCACTCTCATTACGTGATGCAAGTGACATTTAATCCTAAAGACACCAACACCTTTGCCAGTGCATCTCTTGATCGCACCATAAAGGTATAATGAGTTCATGTCACTGGTTGTTTACTTCTTTCTCTTTGTTTAATTCTATCATGCCATGTAAAATATATAATTCTCCCGTTGCCTTCTCTTTCCAGGTTTGGAATCTTGGTTCACCTGATCCCAATTTTACATTGGATGCCCATCAGAAAGGGGTGAACTGTGTTGATTACTTCACAGGTGGTGACAAACCTTATCTAATTACTGGTTCTGATGATCACACTGCTAAGGTTTGCTTTTAATTTTTACTTCTTTTACTTTTCTTCTTATTTTTTCTTGTTTCATTTATCTATTTGTGAGTTTGAATTGAATTACTAAATAATAAAACCCATGAAACAGGTGTGGGACTATCAGGCCAAAAGTTGTGTTCAGACTCTAGAAGGTCACGCACACAATGTATCTGCTGTTTGCTTTCACCCTGAACTTCCTATTATCATTACCGGTTCTGAGGATGGCACAGTGCGCATATGGCACTCAACAACTTATAGGTAATATTTGCTAGACACAGGAGTTGTGAGCTCTATCTTTATGCTTATGTTACTTTGCACATTCCTCTCCCCTTGGGCCACCTTTTTTATGAGGTTGGATGCATTTTTTTGGGGTTTTAAGCTACCATTATACTTTAAATCCAGATTGGAAAGAGTTCATTTGTTGACTTTAATATCTAGAATTGATGATCACTTGAAGACTGTTGAATTTGATAATGGCAGACTTCATTGTTGTTTGTTACTTCTTCCCAATATTTTAAAAGCTCGACTTAGTTAGACTGTTAAGTCAGTTAACTGGTTATGTCAATTAGGCCTGTTGATTTCTTAAATGTATATAAAATTTAATTATTTAAAAAATAATTACTCTTTTTGTTAAAAAATGTAAGGCATTTTTAATCGAATCTCATTCTCTAATAAAGTAGTTATTTGTATTTAAATTAATCTTATTTTTTCACATTAACCCCTATTTAATTGGGTGTTTTACCCTAAAATAAATGTAAAGTGATTTATTCAATAGGGGCATTTTTGGGAAAAAGGTAATAATTACACCTTGAAGGACTAAAAATGTCTTACATTTTTTAATAGAGGGAGTATACGTATGTAAAATATACATGTGATTATTGTACCTGTAAAACATGAATCTATTATATATTTATATATTGTATCACTTGTTTGGACATATCTACTTGAAGATTAAGAATTGAAGATGCCAATCATGTTTCCAGTATGCAAAGCATTCATGGGGAACTAGGTTCAAACCCTACTGTATGCACAATATTTTTTTTAAGGTGATGACATGGTGGTTTTCAAGAACCCATGCCAGGTCACCAGTTCATGAGACAACCTGGCTGGTTTAAATGGTTTAGGCCAGTCTAAAGCAGTCAAACAGACAGAATAGGTTTGATTTGTTTACTGGACTTAATGCTTCGCTGTTTCCCAGTTTGACTAATTCAATCCAGGTTTCAGGATACTGCTTCACTTTTCTCCCTTATTATATTAATTTAACATGCCTTGCAGGCTTGAGAACACATTGAACTATGGTCTTGAAAGAGTTTGGGCAATTGGATACATCAAAGGTTCACGCCGGTGAGTTTGTTAATTTTTCATCCTGTTTTGTGATGGTTGCTTAGTTAGTGCCCATAGGATAAAACTTTTCTGTTGCAAGGCTAAAAATTTTAGCATGTGAAAAGTATGTGCGCAAAAAACAGGCTGTTTTATCTATTATTGTTAGTAAAAAAATAAATTCCATATGCCTTTATATACAAAAAAGGCCTTGTTGAGCTTTTTCATGAAAAGCCCGTTCAAACAAGCATGTATTCCACCAAAGCCTTTTGATAGTATCAAGAACAAAGCCTGCATTTTTGGTTACTGATTAGAGAAATTCTTTATATCCTCCTAAGGTGTGATGCCAGCTTATTTGTTTCAGTTTCACCTTATATGAAGCTTGAAATGGAGAATTTCATTATTGAAGCTGTAAAGTTATTTGTTTCATTCCACTCCCATTGCATAAAACAAAACCAAAACTTCTTTCTTTGCAGGGTTGTCATTGGCTATGATGAAGGAACTATCATGGTCAAACTTGGTCGAGAAGTGCCGGTAGCCAGCATGGATAACAGTGGGAAAATTATTTGGGCAAAGCATAATGAAATTCAAACTGTCAATATAAAGAGTGTAGGAGCAGACGTGGAGGTTTGAGCTCATTCATATCCTGAGCAAGAGGTGGAAAGTTTTTTATATATATGTATATTGACATACTGCTATAATTACTTTATTTCTTAGGTGGCCGATGGAGAAAGGTTACCTTTGGCTGTCAAGGAATTGGGCACCTGTGATCTCTACCCGCAGGTGAGCTGGCATCCTTCTGTTTTAGATTTGGTTTTGCACTTTTTAATTTGTGATCTAATTTTTTGATCAATTCTGCCCTGAATTTGCAAACCTTCATGAACCTTAGCAAATAACCCTGTACATCATTTTGCGAGTTAACCTTTTTCATATCCTCGTTGTATCTTTCTTGACATTATTTAGATATGTAGATAAACTCATACATTACATTGGTTGTGAACTGTATTTTGTGTGCCATTCAATCTACTTTAAAATAATAGTCTTCCTTTGGGTTCAAGTTTGTATGTAGTGACTGAACAGCTATTTACTAATTTGCTTTCAGTTTTTAAAGCACAATCCAAACGGCAGATTTGTTGTTGTGTGTGGAGATGGTGAGTATATTATTTACACTGCCTTGGCATGGAGGAATAGGTCATTTGGCTCAGCATTGGAGTTTGTTTGGTCTTCGGATGGGGAATACGCTGTCAGAGAAAGTACATCAAGGATTAAAATTTTTAGCAAAAATTTTCAGGTTTGTCGTCGATTAAATTGTTTTTGTTTTTGTTTTCCCTGGGTCCTGCAAAAGAAATGGTAAGAAACAACACTTTCTTACTATTTTCATTAGGAGGAAAGCAAAGAGCGCTTCTGTTCTTGTTGTGGTAATTAAGCTATGCTGGCTGTTAATTTTACTCAACCCAAGCGTTATGTCAAAACAATATGACAATAGCTTGTGAAATGTTCTTCCAATGCTGAATTGCTAATAACATATTTGCATTATAGTTTTGTGTATTGCAGAAATTGGTTCTAGTTCTGGAGAATTATTTATTATTTTCTTCTGTTTTAGATGCTTTTAAATAATTAAATGAAACAAATTTCTTCTTGGGAAATTGTAATCAATGTCCAACTAATGTGGAATGCAGGAAAAGAAGAGTATCCGACCTACATTTTCAGCTGAACGAATATTTGGTGGTACTTTACTGGCAATGTGCTCAAACGACTTCATCTGCTTTTATGATTGGGCTGAATGCAGGTTGATTCGTCGCATTGATGTTAATGTGAAAGTAAGTGCTTTAAATTAGATGACATGCAGTCATATGCTTTTCTTCTTCCAATTTTACATCTTCTTTTGCTTTGCCATTTCCTTGTATCAGAACCTTTACTGGGCTGACAGTGGTGATCTACTGGCAATTGCAAGTGATACATCATTTTACATCTTGAAGTACAATGTGAGGATTCTAAGAAAATTCATTATCTTCGTACAGTTGGCTTTTGCTGAAGAACTCTTTTTCCCTTACATTTATCTTTTTAATTTGCTTTATTTGCTGTGGTGTAAAGCATTGGAAACATTTAACAGTTCATTATTGCAGCGTGATGTTGTTGCATCATCGTTGGATAGTGGAAGACCTGTTGATGAGCAGGGTGTTGAAGATGCCTTCGATCTCCTTCATGAAATGAATGAACGTGTCAGGACTGGCATCTGGGTTGGGGATTGTTTCATCTATAACAATTCCTCCTGGAGACTTAACTACTGTGTTGGTGGTGAGGTATTAGGTCTTGTCCCTTCTAGGTTCAAAATAAATTGATAAATATATATATATATATATACATACATACATATATATATTTAGTCAACTACATGATTCTTATGAGGCCTCTTGATTTATAATACATTGATACAACGAATTCAGGTAACTACAATGTTTCATTTGGACCGTCCTATGTACTTGCTGGGATATCTTGCCAGCCAAAGTAGGGTTTATTTGATAGACAAGGAGTTCAAGTAAGTGGACCTTTTGTTTTTTAATATTTAAAGTCACAATTGTAATCTGGCCTGTTTTCTCTAATTATTTGATTTCTTGCAGTGTTATGGGGTACACACTGCTTTTAAGCTTGATTGAGTACAAGACTCTTGTGATGCGTGGTGATCTGGAAAGAGCCGATGAAGTTCTGCCAACAATTCCTAAAGAGCATCATAACAGGTTGCAGTTAACTTTGATTATGTTAATAGTAAGGAGGAAAAATTATCAGTTCTCTCATTTTAGAAATTCTGGTATATAAGTTTGAAACGTGCTTTTTGATAAAAGAACTGTGCTTCATAAATTTTCGTATATCTAATTATAATGTATTATATTCCCTTTCAATTTTTTCCTCGACAAAATATTTTGGTATGGTTCCCTAGTCAGCCTGATGGAATATGAGAATGCTTGTTCAGTGGCTGACCAGAGTATGTTCTGACAGTAATTTGTTTGGTTATTGATGGCTTGTAGGTTCTTACATTGTTTTTTATGTTATGATTTCTATCGGGCCTTTTTACTTCTAAGTTTTTGGTCTTTGCCTTAATGCTTTTATGGTTTTTTTTATCAACACATAATCTTATATGAATCATTGCAACGTCACTATTATATGTTCATTTCAACATTGCTTTGGTTTAGTTAATTGTTCTGTGGGCCTTGTATCATTTATTGGTACTTCAGATTTCAAATCTAAAGGTTGGCACTCATATGATCTGCATACTTTAATGATTTAATGATAGTGTGGCTCGTTTCCTGGAATCACGTGGGATGATAGAGGAAGCTCTTGAAGTAGCTACTGACCCTGACTACAGATTTGAGCTTGCCATACAGCTTGGAAGATTGGAGGTTGCTAAGGTAAGTTCATATATTGTACCTGTGAGGAGAAATCAGTAAACACGTGAAATTTATGATTGTTTCTTTCATCTGTCATGGGTATATTCAACAAGCTAATTCATACCTAGTGATACTGCATCATTCTTTTTGTAGAGTATTGCTACAGAAGTGCACAGTGAGTCTAAATGGAAGCAGTTGGGAGAGTTAGCTATGTCTACTGGCAAGGTGCTTATCTGTGTAACATATATATACATATTTGGGTGATTTCTCCAAGGCTTCAACATTTCTGCAAAATTGTTATGCCTAAATATCCATATGATTTCGTATTGTACTGCTTATTTTGATCATGTGTTCATGAGGAATTATTGGCCTTACTGAAGCTTATGCAAGAGGTTTTGCTAAGGCCAAATTGGAATTTCGGTTTAAAATTTTTTCTTCATTCTGGCGAATTATTAGAATTTTGAGTCTTGGGTCTTGTTACATTGTTACAAAATTGATTCTTGTTGGGTTTTTCTCCTGCTCCATTGCAGCTCACTCTATACTATGTTCTTGCAGTTAGAAATGGCCGAGGAGTGTCTAAAGCATGCAATGGATTTGAGTGGTTTGTTACTGCTTTATTCTTCTTTAGGTGATGCAGAGGGAATATCAAAACTTGCAACCCTTGCTAAAGAGCAAGGGAAAAACAATGTTGCATTCCTTTGCTTATTTATGTTGGGTAGGCTTGAAGACTGCCTGCAATTGTTGATAGAAAGGTAATTTTCTACAGTTTTGTTCTTATACTCTTTGAAATTAGTTACACAAGGAGGGGGAATTGTTTCAGATTAGAAGTGCAGTTATACATAGCTGTCTTGTGGTTTTTGCAGCAACCGGATTCCTGAGGCAGCTCTAATGGCACGATCTTATCTCCCTAGTAAGGTCTCAGAGATTGTGGCAATTTGGAGAAAAGATCTCAGCAAGGTAATTCTAATTCATATATGTAATGTTTACTGAAACTATGGAACTGCCTGACTTCTGTAGTTGGCAAGACAATTTTTGGGTTGGACTTCTGTTGTCATGTCCGGGTAGTTTTATCATTTTTTCCATAGGCATGTAGATCATACTTCAACTATACATCTCTCATATGTTTTTGCTGTTTGCCCAGGTTAATCCAAAAGCTGCTGAGTCATTGGCTGATCCTGAGGAGTATCCCAATTTGTTTGAAGACTGGCAAGTTGCACTTGCTGTTGAATCTAAAGCTGCAGAAACACGGTCAGTGTGTGGGAAACCATATTCACGAGAAACCATATTTTCTTACGGCTTTGATCATTGGTATTGGCGTTTTGCATACTATGTTCACTGACAAATTAGTTATTTTGTTTATTATAGGGGTGTTTATCCTCCTGCAGAAGATTACATTAACCATGCTGCCGAATCTCGCGTTACCCTTGTTGAAGCATTCAGAAACATGCAGATTGAAGATGCAGAGGAGCCTCTTGAGAATGGGGACTCAAATCATGAGGTATGCTGATCATTTGAAGTTCACAAATAAATGTGTAGTGTTTGATTCTTTATATTCTAAGTAATGGGGAAAAATTTGTCTGTATCCCTTTGTTACAGTTAACTGAACAAAATGGAGAAGAGCACGTTACAGAGGAACTGAATGGAGAGGTAGGAAGCCAAGAGGAGGCAGTTGTTGTGGATGCTGACTCTGCAGATGGTGCAGTACTTGTTAATGGCAATGAGGCTGATGAACAGTGGGGTACGAATAATGAAGGAGCCCTGTCAGCCTAAAAGCAATTGGTTGGGGCAGTGTGAAAATCCAATTTTGTCTCTGGTGATTAATTGTTTCTGAAGTGCCATTTCTAACTCCCGTTTAGACAACTTGCTGACTTACTCCATTTCTTCTAGCTTTTATGGGTGAATTGATTCTTAAATATTATAATGCTGCATATTTGGGAACGGATGACCACATCTCCTTCATTACCTATTTTTCCGTGGGTTTGTATGGCCATTGGGTTGGGATTTCTTAGCATAATGCTAATTGCACTTTCTGAGCTCCAGTTGATTAAATTGCCCTGGCTTATCTCTTGGATATAGTCATTGCTATATAGGTTTCCTTTATAATCTTGTGTACTATCAGGTTAACATCTCAATCTGATGGCTGTAATTTGTATTTTCATGAAGCTGTCAATGTAGCTTTTGATCATTGCATATGGCCCATAGAGTGTTTTTCCCCTTAACCAAATCCTGAAGGCACCCTACTTTCTGAATTGCCCTTGGCAAACTCTTTCCATATAGTAGCTTCTGTTGAATCTGCGGAGATTTTTACTTGATTATTTACCATAGCATTATTGACCTGAACTAGGAATGTCTTTGTATTTATACTTGCATTTCTAATTTTGCTTGATTCGAATTTCTTGGTCCTCACTCAATTTTCTCCTTTTCTGGCAGTGCTTACACCACATCACTAGTTAACATCAAGGACAGTTGGTTCCAGCTCCTAGGAATATTTAAGGTTAGGAGAAGAGCAAAAGTACTGTGGATAAGTTTCCACATCCGGTTCTTGTATTGATATCCAACTTAGTCTGTATCATCTGTATTGCATGTGCTTGTAAGATGTTACACCTACTTACCTTGGGAAAATACAATAGTAGGTCCATGTACTTTGATTGTGTTTTGTTTTTAGTCTTTATAGTTGTTCTCAATGCTTTTAGTTTGATCCATCTTAGTCTATATAGTTTTAAAAAATTCACATAATGACCATGAATTGATTTGATGGAGTTAATTTTGCTGTAACTCTGTTATTCCTTTTGCTGACATGGTAAAAATATACTGACATAAAAATAAATTGACTAGATATGATTAAAAATAAAAGATAGGGGGCAAAAAAGCTTCCTTATATAATTGGATTTAACAGAATGTGGCAGATGAAGGCATGATTAAGTACACGTAAACAATATGGTTAATAGAGTTAAGTATACCTTAGCAAAATTAACTCTCAATGCCAGTTCATGATCTTTATGTGCATTTTTGAATTATAGGGATCAATGTTGCAGACGGATCAATCTATAGGGATTGAGAATAGCGAAATATAACTATAGGAATTAAAAACAAAATGCAATCAAATTAGAGGGATTTACTGATGTATTTTCCCTATTACTTTTCTTATATGCTGCCATTTTCATTTTCTCTAGTTTGAACTGCAGGTTTTCTTAAGGAGGCGATGTTAGCATTGTGCGGACTGGCTGTTTCTGTTTCCTGGTGTTGTGGTTTGGTAGTGGCCTGAGTTTTCTCATTTTGTACGTGGTATAATACTATCTCATAGGTTCAGGTAGTTACAATTTATTAGAATTTATAGAAGATTCTTTTTGAGGCGTTTGACCTCAAATATTCTCTCGTGCCATTGTGAATGTAGAAAAGCGGAATTATGATTGCGTGTTCTGATTCTAGGTAGTCCCTCTGAAGTGAAATCTTGCTCATGGTTTTCACTTTGATATTTACTTGGATTGTAATCATGGACTCATAATAGAGAAAATAACCATTCTTCCTCAAGAACATCTGTCCCGTTTCTGTTGATGACTTCATTCTTCCCTAACATCTCTCCCATTTCTGTTCGTCGTGGTTTTTAAGGATAGGCAACCTGAATTCACCAGTGGGAGTGAACTTGTGACCTTCCACTTATAAGGAAGCTTACATGCCATTGGGTTATGAAATCATTGGCTCGTGTTTTCCTTTATCATATTTCTACTGCTATTCTAATTAAATTAATGGTACAAATTATTCTTAGGAACTATCAAATTTAGTGTGTGTTTGGTTTTTAGTTTGTTTAAAATTAATTTGATGAAAGTTCATTTGGCAAAAGTTAATTTGATGAAAGTCAGTTATTGTAATGAAATTTGTGTTTGGATATATTTTTTTCAAAAGTCAGTTTAATAAATTAAAAGTTGTTTGGGTTAATAAAAATTTGTGTTTTGAAATGTACTTTTTAATGTGCAATGACAAAAAAGAATATTAATTTATAATAACTTATAATTTTTGTTATACAAATATAATACATTAAAAATGTTTAAAAAATGTAAAACAAATTTAAAACAATATAAAATTTAAAATGTTAGATAATAAAAATAAAAATATATAATTTAATATTAAAAAAATTATGTAATAAATAGTTATTTATTATTTACATTCTATACGGTTATTTTGATATTTGGTCTTTAATATAAGTTATTCCCATTTTATAAAAATTTTTATATATAATTCTAAAAATATATTTCTAAATATTTTAAAAAAGAAGTGTAACATTTTTATTGTAAAAAAAAAAACTCTTCTCATTATCAATTACTTTTTATTTAAATTTAAAAATGAAAATGAAAATTAGTTTAATTTTAAATTAATTTTGGTACATTAACTAACATGCATTAATTTTAATAAATTAATTAAAAATGACTCGTATACAATATTGAACGAAATATATGGTAAAGTAAAATTTGATTAATGGCTTCATGAGCCATCAGCTTGATATAAGTAGGGTTGAGCTTGTGAGCCACGTGTAAAAGTTAAATTTTGTTGGATACAATTGTCATTTTACATGATAAGGATAATTTTGTAATCTGTCAATCTCACACAAAGAAAGTGAATTTACATTTGAAAAGCTAGACTAAGGAGCTTTTCATTTTCTCCATTTGAAACCCATTTAAAAGTTCTTTTTTCAAAGCATATCTCATCTAAAATATACATTTCAAACAATATTCTACATCCTAAAAGTTAAAAGCCACTTTTGGAATGTGAAACGTGCTGTATCCAATTGCACTCTTAATTAGACAATTTATCATTGACAAGTCTTTTTTGCAAAAATTTTTATTGGTATCTTTTTCAAGTTATAACCATTATTAGGATGAGTTTAAAATATTAGTTAAAAGATGCTTAAATGTTTATACATAAGTTGTATTTCAAATCTAAAACATAAATAGAAAATAACAAGTTTAGGCAAACTATTCAAACTCTCACTTTTAAATACATCAGAAACATCTCTTTTTAGGCTCTTCAGATTTGAATGAATTTGAACTGAAAATTTGTAATGGGAAGATCATCAGTGTTAACATCAATGGATTTTGAACTGAATTGAATGAAGCTAATTTTAAAGATTTTGTATTGACTAAAACGGCTATAGTTAGCTCACTCTTTCAATCACAGAGGAAGAACATTATTTATCAATAATGAGTAAAATTTCAGAGGGATGAAATGGCAACCATAAATTGAGTTTTTAATCTTTCAAAACTTACGAGGATAGTTAGTAATATAAGACTATGACCAAAACATAAGAAAAAAATAACAGCAACAACGGCAGTTTTGGAGATATAAGAGTGTGTGTCTATTTCAACTTTTGACGTAAAACCAATGGCAAAAATACAATTAATATCTGTTTTAAAACATTGTAATTAATATATAAGGATGTGATATGTCTTGTAGTTGTATAGTGATACAATGCTGAATAGTAATTCATAAGGCTGCTCCACATTATTCATCCATTAGTCATATTGATAAGGTGGAACGATACTGTTAAATAAGAAATAGAATGGAAAGAATACTTGAAAACAACTCATCAGAATAGAATTCCATCATAATGGCCATTACCGGAGAAGATTAAAATGTTTATGTAGCAGGTGACACATGAGAGACTAATGACTAATTCATTCACTCAGAACAAATACAAGCATGCTGCTTTTCAGGAGTAGAACCAAGAGATCCCAAGATGGAATCCACCACCAGAAGGCATACTCTCTGTGGACATTGACACCTCTATTATAAGATGAGAACATGCAGGCTGTGGAGGAATTATCAGGGATGCAAAAGGCCACTGGATTCTGGGATTTCAACGTGGAATTAGGGAAGCTTCGATTTTAAAGACAGAACTCATTGCCATAAAGTTTGGCCTACAAGTTGGTCGACAATAAGGTTATGACAGTATTGAATTATTTAAGAACTCGTTAGAAGCCTTAAATGTCATCTTCAGAGATCGTGGGCCTTGTCATCCTTTTATTGAAGTAGTTAGACATATCAGATAACTCATATATGATGATTGGAATTGTTCAGTTTGTGAGGTACCAAGGGACTTAGTTCGCTGCGCTGATTTTTTTGCGAGGACTGCTCACGAAGCTGGAAATGGAGTCTCGTTGATCCAGTCATGCCCATCAGGATGCTTCAATATGGTTCTGCACAACACTAATCTGTCTTCTTAATTCTCTTCAAGCTAGTCTTGCCCTCTTGTTTTTGCGTGTTTTTTTTTCTTTTTTAAAGAATAGATTTCCATAAGAATAAGACTATATCATTCTAATTCTAGCTTAAAGCATAATATATCAAAGATCACTTTTCATGCATAAGATTATCAAAATTCTTAAGAAATTTCATTATTATTTTTTTATTTTTATTAATTTTATCAAAATACTTAATACAATAAAAAAAACACACATAATAAATTACATTTTTGACTTGATGTATATATTTATTAAATTCATGAAAGTCAAATATTTTTGAAAAACATACAAATTTCTTTTTAAGGAATCAACTTGTAAACTTTTTGCTCTTTGGATAAATATTTTTGAAAAACATACAAATTTCCCTTTAAGGAATCAACTTGTAAACTTTTTGCTCTTTGGATATGTCTCAGAAATGATCATGTATTTTACTTTTTAAGATCTACGCATTTTAGGCGAATCTGATACTGTCATATCCTAGTCAAATTCATATCTCATCCACATCCACTCCTTTATTTTTATTTTTTGGTACAGTAATTTTTTAATTTTTTCCAACCATCCACTCATTCCTCTTTTTTTTTTTTTGGACTTTCCATGCATCAAGATTCTGAGAAAATCAATTTTGTCTCTATATTTTACCTCCATTTTAAGCTGGTCACTTAAATATTTTTTTAAAATTAAATAATTCCTGACACAACTATTTCAGAGTTAATCCCTATGCTATATCTTGGTCCCCAAGTGGTACATAAATCACACCAACAAGATCCATCCCTAATCTGATGACATATTGACACACAGAAATTCACTCTAAAAATAAGTTTTCAAGTATACAGTGAGTGCTTTTGAAAATTTTCAAATATAATAAAATAACCTATTTGAAAATAAAGGTCAATTATATGGACCAATCAAGACATAATTAATTTTCCCCAAATTTGTGTATATTTCAGAAATTCAGAAGCCCAAAGTTTTTTTTTTTCTGAGCCCAATCTTTGAACGGAATCTCTGCCCAGAAGCCCTATTCAGAGACGTGTCTCTCTCAAGAATAAAAACCCTTCCTCTGCTCAGCTAAATCACTGAAATGCAAGGAGGGAGAAACTGAATCCCCTCTCTCTGTCTTCCATATCCGAACACTCGCAATAAATTGAAATTCCGAACTCTAGGATTTCAGCTTACTCTCTCTGGATTTTTCGCTCTCTTTCTAGGTAGTATTTTCTCTCGCTTTCAGCAAAGCTTTTCCCCCCGCCGCCGCTAAGGCTCTTCTTGCTTCCTCTGGTGAGTGCTGTTTTCCGGGTACTTCATCGCCCGAGCTCAGTTTAGTACTGTTATGTTAGTGTAATTCTGATATTCTGCCTCGTGATTGCGAAATGTTCTTCTCATAGTTAGCTAATATGCGTAGAGTAGGGTTTTAGTTTTTTTTTTTTTTTTTGGTTTCTGGAAAATGAAGTTACGGCTTTTAATTTTTCTTTATCATGGTACTTTCTCAAAGGCCTTGAACTCCAGTGATGTTGGTCTACTTTAGTCTTTGATTTGTTTTTCGTTGGTATTATTAGTTTAACTAGGTATTAGGATTATTTTTGTATTCCTTCAATATTCTTTGATACATTGGGAACTTTTTGAGGAAACTTCTTTTACATTTGAGAGAATTGTGTGCTAACTCTTGCGTTTTCTTTGGTATGTTTAACCCTTTCCTGTTGTCTTTCTCAAATTACTTTTGCCTGTGATGGCTGAACTCGTATTCATTGCTTTATCATATGGAAGGGTTATTGAAGATCTGAAAGATGGTAGTAGTCCTGATTTTTCTGAAACCAGTGTGAGAACGTTGGAGTTGTTGTCAATTCATTTACTAATATTTATAAATGATGATGATGTTATCAATTATGATTTGTATGGCTATTATAATACGTTAAAATTTCAAACTAAGTACTCAATCAATTCTTTCATTTTCAAGTTTTCTCCCAAAGAATTATATCATTTTCAGAAACGGCATGGAAACTTAATCTTACTTCAGCAATTAACTGCTTCTGAATAATTGTACTACTATCTGAGACTGTACATCTCCTATCACTTTGTTGCTTTTTTCGCTGGTGATTTGCATTATTTGCATGCTTGGATTGCTCAAGAGTTATACATCCTTGTTATAATGTTGATCACTTGCAGGGGAGGAACCAGCCTTTGAATTCAAGGGCGGCCAAGTTTTTTTCCCCACTAAAATCAATATGCATATTATTTATTTAATTTTTTTCTAACTTAATAAAATGAAATAACAATAATAAAATCAAATATTTAAGCTTATATATACAATGTAATTTGCCTAAAGTATGAAGAACTCTCTTGAGCTTTGAGGCAATTGCACAGAACCCCCTAAATTTTAAAAGCTTAGAATTGACTTCCTTAACTTGTTATTTTTTAACTAAAGACTCCTCTACTGTTATTTTTTAGTTATCTTATTAATAATAGAAGTTGTCATTTCATATTAAAAAAGAAAAATCAGCAATGTGACATCTGACGTAAGCCAATAATAATAGAAACATATGGATAAAGTTTTAATGAGGCTATTAGTAGCTTACATTGGACATCACATAAGCTGCTATGCATCTTTTTTTTTAATATTACACGATAACTTCTGTTGGTAAGATAATTAAGAAAAATAGCAGTAAGAAAGTAAGTGGTAAAAAAAAAAATTAAAAAGTTAGGGAGATTTGTTTCGTTAGTAAAAATAAAAGATAACTTCTCTTAGTTTTGTTAGTAAGATTATATACCTTAACGTGTATGTGCTTTAATGTGATGTGTGTATTACCTAACCTAATATAATTATGTGCAAAGAAGGAGTGGGGTTTTGTTTGGTTATGGTGTGGTGGGGCGGGGAAACCAAAGAAGAAATTAAAGAGACCAAGGCTTTAGCATTAACAGCATGTCATGTATATATATGAGAAGCATGGAGCCCTTACCATCAACGTGGGTTCGCCCCTGCTCAGTTGATTCAAATTGAATCTTGTGTACTTTTTTTTTCTTTCTTGAATTACAAGTAGGCAAAGCCTTAAAAGGATACAGCCAGATTATTTATTCTGTTTTAATGTTTGGCCATTTCTTTCTCAAAATCAAGGAATCATGATCAAGATTGCAAACATATAAAATCACCTGTTTAATATCTTTTGTCTACATGTGATAGATGAATTCATTATGGATGTACTTATGTTGGCTTCTGTTTTTGTCCTTTACTAAGGATCTCTGTGTTTCCGTGTGAAAATTTATTGATTCACTATTTTGTAGTCTTCCAAGATTTTTTTTTTTATTTCCTGCAAATGTTTGTGTGCAAAATTACTTAGGTTGTTATGGGACTTCCTAAATCAATCACTGGTTTATGGTGTTATTGTCCATGTACTCTTCTTTATGTTTATTTGCTTGAAATAGTTGGCTTTTGAAAGTGTTGTGCATGGAAGTTTCTTCTGTATGTATGTTTCCTCAACATATGTGATACAAACAGAGTTTTATGATCTCCACTCATTAATTTACTTCTTTTTCGCCTTCAAAGATAGTGCTGTTAATATCAATGAGATAAAACATGCAGTTACCTTGGAGGCAAGCTTGTCTAGGTGAATACAGCATGCATACTGTCTGCAGTTTCTCTAACTTTAAACCTTGATTGATTAACTTCATTATTTGCAAGAAACATAATGATGAATTTAATTGGCTCCGAGGATTTTTTTTTTTAAATATCTATATCTATGGATTCCCTTATCCCTCAAAACTTGCCCATGCTGTGAATAATGGAAGTAGTTTGTTTGTAGCAGGAAGAAAAAATGTTTCATTGTGAACTTTATATTGGATGATTTTCTGTTGTTGCCTTTGTGTCTGTTGGATGATATTTGTGTTTTACTCACAATGTGGTGATTGTGCTTATTTTTAACCCTTATTTTGGGTGTACATATGAATCGTTATGCATATGCTATGATTTTTACACTTATACTGTTCTTATTACCTTAAGTTTTGTCTTCTAGTTGAGGAGAAAATATTAATATCTTACTTTTTTTTACTGCAGTTATTTCCTTATTTGGTGAAATAGAAGTTCTGGAGTTGTATTCCATTGATTTCTTTCTTCAATGGGGGATGCTGACAATGCCCTTCCACCTTCAAAGAAAAGGGCTGCTGGAAGGGAGCTCTCTCGAGACACTCCCATTGATGATGAGGAAGATTCCACAGAAACTGAGAGTGGGACTTTTAAGAGGGCCAGTGATGAAGTTTTGGCAACTAGGAGAATAGTTAAAGTTCGTCGCCAACAGACCAATGCTGCTCCATCCACAAATCCTTTTGCTGGAATACGCTTGGTTTCTCCTGAGTCCAGTGCTACACCTACGGAAGCTACCCCTAAAGCACAAGCAACTAGTGAGAACACTGTTGCAGATGATACAAAATGTACTGATGGTGTGACTTGTGATTCTGAGAAAGCTAAAGATGGGGATATTAAACAATTAGAGAGCAAAGTTGATGAGTCAGGGAAGAAATCTACTGAGATTAAGGATGCTGCTGAAGAAAATGTTGTTAATAGAGAGGACACTGCAGAGGAGAGCACTGGTGAAAAATCTGAGGTAGATAAACAACAAAGAGAGGACCATGATAAGAATGATAATGAGGATAAGAAGGATGCTGATGATAAGGAGACTGCTACTGAGGCGGATGTAGAACAAACTAGTAAAAATGATGGAGATAAGAAAGGTGCTGAAGCAAAACTGAGTGCTGGCGAGGTAGATAAAGAACAAACTGATAAAAATAGTAATGAGGATAAGAAGGATGCTGAAGATAAAGAGAATCCTGGTGAGGTGGAAAAAGAACAAACTAAGGTTGGTGATGATACAGTAAACGATGATCAGAAAGGGAAGAAGGATGCTGAAGATAAAGAGAATACTGGTGAGGTGGAAAAAGAACAAACTAAGGTTGGTGATGATACAGTAAACGATGATCAGAAAGGGAACACTGATAATGTGGCTAAGGAAGACAACACAGTTGAAAGACAAGAGACTAGTTCAGAAGGAACTTCTTTGAAGTCATTTCAACAGCTTTCAAGCAGCCAAAATGCATTTAGTGGTCTCGCTGGAACTGGATTTTCTGCTTCCTCATTTTCCTTTGGGTCTTTATCAAGTGAAGGATCTGCTCTGGGTAGCGGTTCTGGTTCAATTTTTGGAATTAAAAACGATAAGCCTTTTGGTCTGGGTTTATCTAACAATGGAACTTCTGTTTTTGGGGCAACAGGCGCCTCTGCTGCTGCTAAAGCTGAGGGAAGTGGTTTCCCACCAATGCAGGAGGTCGTAGTTGAAACGGGCGAGGAAAATGAGAAAGTTGTGTTCAATGCAGATTCAATATTATTTGAGTTTGTTGATGGCAGTTGGAAGGAACGAGGAAAGGGTGAACTGAAGGTGAATATTTCTTCAGGAGGGAATGAAAAGGCCAGACTTCTCATGAGGACAAGGGGTAATTACAGGCTGATTTTAAACGCACGTCTCTACCCTGATATAAAGCTCACCAATATGGAAAAGAAAGGTGTTACTTTTGCCTGCGTCAATAGTGCCAATGAAGGGAAAGATGGCCTCTCAACATTTGCCTTGAGATTCAAGGACGGGTCCATAGTGGAGGAATTTAAAGCCACGGTCATGGCTCACAAGGGCGAGAAAGCGACAGTTCTCAAGACCCCAGAAAACTCCCCCAAGGCTTCTGACGGTTAATTTAAGAGAGGATCTTGTTGATCTGTTTTCTGAGTCTGTCAGTCTTTAGGAAGGAAAATTTTTACTCTTATGAGTTAAATCCGCATGCCTTTTGTATGGCAGAGTCTACCATATTTGACTATTTGTATTTTAATTTGGGTCGGGTCTACTGTCTCTGTCCAACCGATATGGGAACTTGTTTTTGGATAAATCTTGGATTCAGATTACGCAGGAATATTTAATGATACTATATCCCAATATCACGGAGATGATGTCTTGTCAAACGGAAGAAGGAGAGTCATCAGAGGAAAGTTTGAGCGTTTGTTATTGGTTTCTTGATAAAAGTATAATAATGAAGCTTATGGGTTATTTCATATTAAGACTGATAGTGCTGCGGCAAATCACTACGATTTCAAGTTAGATTATTCCAAACTTTTTTCTGGGTGAACTTGGTTATTTCAAATTTACTAGCTTATTTTTAATTTATGTTTTCATGTTTCTCTTTGAGGTTTCTTTACTTTGAGGAACTGGGTTTTTCGTTTGTAAGTAAACTACTTTTTTTTATTTGCACATGAGTAGAGTGAAATTAAAAGTTTAATTCGTACATTTAAAACCGATAGGCCATTTTGAAGGTGGTAGCTTCAAGTTATGAGTAGAGGGTGGTGAAGTGGTCTTTATAGTTTATTCTTCAAAATAAACAAACTATGTAGAGTCTCACATCACAGCTCACAACACAGGGGGATAGTCATCTCACTCATCTTAGATGTGTAATATATTTTTAAAAGTTTGATAAATGATAAAGCACAATAATGTCTTGCAATCTATATAATTAATTCTAACTAATGGAATAAAGATTTATTGTTGGTATTGGTAAAATGACAATGCAATGTAAGGCAATCTATGACGTGTTGTGGTTTTTGAGCTAAGTGAGCAATAAAGCGAGCACAATTATTAATTTTTATATACACATGTTTATAAGTAATCTTTCAATCCATCATAAAAAGATTCCTAATGATTTGAACAATGCTGTAGCTCAAATAGTTAATGTCATGAATGTTTGTAATTTTTTGAATAGCTTCAATAAAACCAGTGCATAATTTAATCTTCCTTGCATAATTTAATCTTCGTGGAATCATGAAACCAACAAAATTGTGACTTTTCATAAATGATCATGAGCTGATTCAATATCACTCTAGATAATATCTTTTCGACGTAACTATGATTGTAAAAGGTAATACATATTGAATCAAATAAAAGATTTTGTATGTTACACAACTCTTTTGAGAAAAATGAAATTCACTTCCTTTTGTATGAGGAAGGCACAGCAAAAGCAATCAAGCCATAAGATTATAAAGCCTATAGATAATAACACTCTTCAAATCCTTGACAAAAACCAATCCCGACAAAAACTTGTGTAAAATAAGCAAACCTAACTTGGAGAAAAATAAATTTCTTAGAAGTCTAAACAATATGACCTTGCATGTCAAAATAATGATTTTTCTCACCTCGATATTTTAAATTTTCTTTGATGGATACCAAACACAACCTTGTAGACTAACCCTTGTTAGATTAGTAGGGTGACCCAATTTATCACATACAATGGAAGTAACTACCTTACAACTTGTGTATCAAGTTTCACTAGCTCTAACTATTATTGACTTATTCACCAAAAAAAAAACTCATATTGACTTTTTAAAAAAGATGGTTTTATCTGTGTATGAAACTGAGTTTGTTCTCCTCCTCTTTTAACTCCCTCTTTTTTCTCTTGTTACTCTAAATTCTAGGAACTTTATGATTAAAAAAAATGTAAAGATTTGGATTTCTTAATTAATTAATATCCGGATTTAAAAAAGAACCCAATCCCATCTTCCACTTCTAATTATCATATAGACTTTCCTACCAATCATGTTCTTTTCATGAACTTGGATGAAGGTGTCCAATCTTGATAACCATGTCAATGTTGCTCCAAGTATTCATCCAAGTTAGTGTAAATATATATGCCTTGGCAAATTTTATATATGAAAATGAAAAAAAAAAAAGATATAGCCAAATGAATCCAATCATTGTCCATAAAGTAAGAGAAGTTAGATCATTTGTACTTAAGAATGAGGTAACATTACTTCTTTTTAGGGAGAATGATAAAGAAATCTTAAAAAGATTAATTAATTTAATTTAAGTTTCAAGTGTTAAATTTTAAGAATTTATAATTTTAGTTCTCAATTTTATAATTTTATTGTGATGAAATTACAACTTATATTTTAAATTTTAATAGAAAAATAAATTTGTTTATTCTTCAACTACCATAAAATTTAAAAAACAAGTTACAAATTTATTATAATAAAATTATAAAATTAAGAGCTAAATTTGTAATTTTTAAAACTTGACACTCGAGACCTAAATTAAATTAATTAATCTTTTTGGACTTCTCTGTCATTCTCCTTTCTTTTTATTGTATTTAGGATTTAGGATAGCAACAACATATTTTTCTTGGTTGCTTTCTAATTTTCATCTAAAGGGAATTGAGAAGACAAGCTTTATTTGTAGTAGGTATTTTTTTTTTTCACACCAATGACTATTTTTCTGAAATTTATAAATAAGATTCCAATTATAATTTATTGTTTAGAATTTTTGGACGCTCAAACATGTGTCAAAATAAAACCTCTCCTTTCAAACTCCTATAAATAGTATTTATTAAAAATTACCTCACAAGAAAGGAAAATCACATCTCTTTGCCATAAACTTAACCCAGGCGATCTTATTTTTAACTGACAATGTTGAGAATATATGTACAAATATATAAAATATAAAATTTGAATAAAACACACTACATGCCATATCTCATCAACATAACTTATTTTCTCATACTCGTTTACTTTTCTGATGTTATTTATAAATCACTTTCAACATATTTTATTAATATTAAGAAAAATCTTAAAATTTATTAACTTTGTCTTAAAATTTAATAAGTTCTCAACTTTACTTTTATTGAGTATATATATTTCAATAATATATTTTCTTTCTCTAATATTTAATGGAGGGTAAAAAAAATTTATAATAAAAATTTAATGACATGACTTATAAATAGAATTAATTTTTTTTTTGTCTTTCTACCTTATAAATAAATAGGGTGAGGAGAAGCTATAATGTGTCAAAGAGATGAAATAGTTTTAAACCCCTAAGGCTAGTATTATTGGCAATATAATAGAAATCCTTCATAAGCGTTGACGCTTAGAGCCAGTTTAATTGATAATAGTGGAATAAAATATAGGAAGTGTTAAGATTTAAACTCTTCTTATGTGTCAAACATTCTTCATAAGCAATACTATAAATCAAAATAAATATCATTCACATGAATTCTTTTTAAAAATAAATTCTTATTGTAGTATTATTATTAATATTAATCTTAAAAGTGTTTAAGTTTGTAACCCAAAGAACAAGTTTCTATTCATTTTTTATTTTAAAAAATGAATGTATTTTTTGTATTACAAAAAAAGATAGATGAAAATCTTTTTTTTTTTATAGTTTTAGTGATATTTGAATAATCATATATGATAATGATTTCCGAAGCTTATCCAAAAATTGAATTAGCATCCCTTCGTTCGGGAAAATGTTAATACCATTTAACCCCAAAATGAAGCAATCTCAAAAGTTTTGAGCAAGAATGAATTATTCTTTCTGTAAAATAATGTACAAACGTGTCAGAGTTTGGCCAATCAGGAGCGTCCAAATGCACTGTCGTGGACATATTTCCTGAAATACCCTTTTGACATCCAATTCCCATGAGGCTTCTCCCATATTCAAGTACAATACATCCCTATTTAGCATCCAGGTATGCGGCGTCAAATTGCTGACGACACTTGAAATTCCCAAAAAAAATCTCCCAAAAAGTATTTAGGGTTTTGCAACGCAAGGGGGTCTACTCCTAAGATCCCAACCCTCTCATAATTTAACTTTACTTTGTTTTAATTTTGGCGTTTAACCTTGAATTCTCTGAAGCGTTTCAATTTGGGTTTTGCCTTCGTGTTAAGATATGAGTTTTTAGGGCTTTTGTTGTTCGGATTGACAGTGATTTCCAATATTGTGTTTTCTCTGTCGAGTAATTCTTGTGTTTCATGCGAGATTGCTGCTTGCGTATTGCTGGGCAATAATTTAACGCCCTAGAAAGTTTGGATTTGTTTAGAGGGTAATAATTGGTAGGAAATTTGGTTTCTTTTGGTTGAGTGTTACGTTAAATTGTCTGAAAAAGTCTAGCTTTTTGGGTTTTATTGCCTCGGATTTATTCAGAACTAAGTGAGAAGATATTGATGGCTAACGCTGGCGAAGAAGATGTGGAGTACGAGAGTGATCCAGAAGAGGCCAAGAGATCGCTGGCAATGAGGAGGCGTGAAGCAAGTGATGACGAGGAAGGTGAAGGAAACGGGAGAGACAAGAGGGTAGACCGTCGAGCCGGAATCCATACGGATGATTCAGATGATCAGGGTGGAGTGGCGGAGTATGATGATGAAGAGGATTTGGATGGAGATGAGGAAGAAGAGTTAGTAGAGCTTGATGAAGAGGAAGTTGTTGAGGAAGGAGATGACGTTGAAGACGAAGAGGTGTACGAGGAGAGGGAGGGAGAAGGAGGATTCCATGTTGCTGATGTTGAGGGTTCAGCAGTTATGGTCAAAGAATCGGATGGGGATGTCCGAGCTCCTTCTGAAGCGGAGGTGCCTTCAGGGAACAGGGATGATGAGGGGAAAAAGGAGAATGAACCATTTGCAGTGCCCACAGCTGGAGCATTCTACATGCATGACGACCGTTTCAGGGATAATGCCGGTGGTCGCCACAGGTATGTTTAGTGTTGGTCTATGATTTGCATTTTGGATTTGCAAGAAATATACTATCAATAACTGTAAAAGAGACATAGCAATAGATGGAATATTTTTTTGTCATTAGATGTTATGATATTACTCCTTGTTTAATAATAGGTCGCCTTCATTTGTTCTTTGACTTTGTTATGTGTTGGCTTTTTGGATGGAAAAATGATAAAGATTGTGCTTCATACATTTTAAATCAGGGGTAAATTACGTCTGGGGTAGCATTATTCATTACTTTTCAACTTGTTCTAAATCTGGGCCGCCTTTGTAATTTTAAAATCTGAAGTTCATTGTAAATGGGAGCTTCGATAGATTGCTTTTGGGCTCTGGTGGGACGAGAGGCTTTTTTAAATTGATGATTTTTAATGAATGCGAGTTTTCCATATAATGCATTGTTTTATGCTTTATATTTGTCAATTGAATTTTCATATGATCTCTAGCCTAGAGTTTTGAACTTTTATATGTGCATTTGTTGGAAGACTTAATTACTCATTGGTTATGCAGAAGATTGGTTTCCTCATAAATACATTAGTTATCAACTTAAATAATATTAATGATGTTTTAACATTAAGTTTTGAAGGAAACTACAATATAATAGTGTTTTTTAAGTTGAAAGTGCTCTGACATTTTAATATAACTGAGAAATTTTCTGTGGTCATTCAAATTGGAAATTGGAATAATGGACAATTTAGAGATGGAGAATTTTCTTAATTTTCTTAAATCTTTTCTTTCAACTATTTAAACATTCTACTTTGAACTGCCAAGTAGCATTACATTCTTATGCTAGAGAATCAAAGTACTCAGGCCTGGTTATTTTACTGATGCTTTTTATAACCCATAAAATAGATTCCCAGAAGCTTTATTTACTTGCCAATGTGTGTGCTAGAGGTTGGTCTTATTTTCATGTTAGTTTTGTCATACTGAGTACCAGAGGGGGTTCTGTTTTTAAGCAAGGGTATCCTCGTTACATTATAATCCAAAAATATATCATACATTCCTAATTTCCTGGAGATTTCTTATCATGATTTAACTTAGACATAATAGCCGTTTTATATTGTTGGTTTGGTTCAAGTAATATTTTAAATTTCTCTTGATGCTTTGATGACTTGTTTATGCTGTGTGTATGAGGGTGTGTGCCTAGCTATCTATATATGATCATATGAAGACTTACTTGAATGTCCTTCATTTAACAGAAAGTTATGTTAGATTCTGTTCCTTTTTGAACCCTATCTTTCCTCTATTTTCAGGAGGATACATGGCGGAAGGAGACTGTGGGAGTCAAAAGATGATAAGAAATGGGGGCATGATAAGTTTGAGGAAATGACATTGCAGGAAAGGCGCTATGAAGAGGTGATGATTTTTTTCGCTGCAATACTTGAAATTGCTTCATGATTAGTATTGGTTTGTTTAATTCTGTTGGTCTGTTTTATGAGACAAGTCTTATCTCTATAAAATTTAGGGCAGGAGAGTCTCTAAGGGTAACTTTCGAGGCCGTGGTAAAAATCGAGTTGTTGATCGTGGAGGATTTGTTCGGGGGAGCAAGAAAGGATATAGTAATAGTGGTAATCAAAGTCAATTGCCTAAGAGGGCTGTGCGAGGTAGAGGTTCCCGACGGTACGAACCCATTAATAAGAACAATGGTTCAGCTTCTCAATCACAAAATAAACAGTAAGTACAAATTTTGTGCTTTATTTGAATTTCTGGACTTGGACAAACGTTATCTATTTATATGTTCAAGTTCCCTGATTATTTATTTATTTTTGTTAAGATCTGAGAAGTCTCTTGGGAAAAATTCACAACTTAGTTCTGGGAGAACTTTGACACCTGCCCCCAGTGTGGAATCTGACTCTGTGCCACTTAGGAAACAGTTGTTTGCATCAAACTTGAATTCTGCATCTCCCCCTTTTTACCCGTCAGGTTCTTCTATCAAGGAGAGTAATCTGACATCTAAAAGGGATGTACAAGCTGGGAGCACAAGCAGGAATGTTCGTACTGGTGTTATAGATGATGGCTTTTCGGTTCAACAAAACAGTTCATTGCTAAGGGGAAAGAATGTTGCTGATCCCATCAGCACGGATAAGCTTTATATTGATGAATCCGTCAGTTCAGCTGGTAAGTCTCTTAACAATATGCACATTACAGCTTCTGGGGTTAATTCTTCTCAGTCTTCTCAACCAAGGGCTCCTGGGAGGGCTGTATCAATTCCAGTGTCTATGAATTATCAACCTGTGCCCTCCCATAATCAAATAACCAAGGTTTCTTCAACACAACACCATACTATTCATAGAAGTTCTACGGCAGGCCGAACTCAGTCTTCTCAGCAGGCTTCTACTCCACCATTGAATCAGCGACCTGGTAGTTCACATACTTCCTCTCCTCCTAAAACATCTGTGGCTGTTAATTCATCTGATTCTGGAGACATGGATGCAACTTCAGAATCTGGTAAATTTAAAGGTGCAATAGTTGGGAAGGGAAGGGGAGGTGCTCAGAGTAGTGGAAGAGGCTCTTTTGTTTATGGTGGGGCACAGGTTATGGGGGCTGCTGGAAATATGAGTGTTAGTCATGGAGATCAGAATTTCCCAGCCACCCCTGCGTTCTTGCCAGGTTAATTTCAGTTGTCTTTGTTAAGTTTTCTAGTCAATTTGGATGTTTTGTATTCTATTATACTTACTATCACTGTCCTGTGAGTGAAGAGTCAAACGGTCAAATAATTTTTTTTTACTAAAATAGTAAGGCAGAATGACAAATAAGGACCTTGTAAGAACATTAATGTCAAATTAGAATTTTTCAACACCAACATTCCCAAATTTCAGTATTCCTTCTACCATGTTTTAGTATTAAAGTTCCTAATTTGACATTAACGTTCTTATAAGGTCTTTACTTGTCATTCTCCCAAAAAGGAATAAAGGTGGATACTTTGAAACTATGGGTAACTTGATTAAAATTCTTTTAGCATCAAATTCTCTCTTCTTAGTGCAATGTATGTAATGGTCTCCCCCTCCATTGTTTGCTTTTATTCTTTTGTAGTGCTTTCAGAATGTATAAAATGATAATGTCTTTCTCTTAATTTTTCCTATTCTGTTGGGTCTGTTTGGACAGTTATGCAATTTGGGGGACAGCATCCTGGTGGTCTTGGGGTTCCTGCTGTTGGCATGGCATTCCCTGGATATGTTGCTCAACCTCAACTTGGCTTGGGAAACAATGAAATGACATGGTACAGATTTAGAAAACTTTTGTATTCCATCTCATGGTAGTTATGTAATATTGGATTAGTTGAGCAGCTAGTTCCCTTTTTTAACCTTTGATGCTTGTTTCTGGTTGCAATCTTTATCCTTCTTTCTGTTTTCTTTAAAAACTACTGATGCTAGGTGCATGCTGTCTACAGCTAGCGCCCCTAACTTTTTGTGACCAATAGGTGATGTAATTCATCTCCCTTCATACTCTTGTTTAGGCTTCCAGTGTTGGCTGGTGCTGCGGGAGCATTAGGTGCTGCGGGAGCATTAGGTGCTACTTACTGTCCACCCTATCTAGCTGTAGATGGTGCTTATCATGCTCGACAACCAGGACAGACATCTGCATTGGGAACTCCAAGGTTGGTAGAACTTTCTACCCTTAGTATGGTGACTGATTGCTTGCTCTCTTTTCCTTCCATGGCTTAGTGCTTGAGACCATTGTGTTTTGTTCCTTTTGACCTCTGCAGTCTGTTTCTGGGTGTTTTTCAATTACTATAAGAAAGAGTTTGTCTTTTTTTCTATATGTAATTTGTTGTCCTATCTTGCAATTTGGCATAGGATTTCTCAAACACCTATTTCTTCCCAGGCATAAGGTTTCATGCAGTTAGATTTGCTAGAAATGTGTTTTGGTTTATATTACATATGTGCGCATTGTACTATTCCTTCTTTTTGTTGCAAATATGCAATTTGGCAAGTTTGCAATTTTCATTTCCTCATTTAGTTGATATCAACTCTACATGAACAATGATTTCTAAATTATACATCTTTATTTTTTCGGTGTGGAGGAATCTCTAAAGACAAAATTGTAGCTTTTACATTTTCGTGCTAGCTTGCATCAGGTAGTTAACAATTCTTGACTTTTGGTTTTGTTTTTAACTTACAGCAAAGAGAATAATGCAAATAAAGCTAATAACGAATGGAACCCACCACAAAGGACTGGTAAGTCATCAGTAACCCTTCTTTAATAATGTTATGGAGACTTAAGCAAGCATAGGGAATCCACCCTTAAAACCTGATCTGTAAGGGGGTTGAACCATGCCATTTTCGTTTCATGAGAATTACTTGTGGCTGCTTAATATAAGACTCCACCATAGCACATTTTTGGATCCTCTCCACTTAGGATTCTCTATCAAGCCTTGAGTGAGTTCAAATGCAAATTTGGTCGACCAGATTTGATCTAACTGATCTACATTTTAACCCTTCTGACATTTTTTGTTTGAAAAGAAACAGAACGCGGAATCAAGTCTATCTTCAGACTGTGAGCTTAAATACTTAGATTAAAAAGACAGAAAAGAACCTTAAAGTATAATTGTCCCGATCAAATTTAGATGATTTAAGTTTGTCGTCTGTCTTCCTTGAGGCTCATTGGAAGATCCTTTGGGTTGAGAGGACCCAAGCCCATTGCCCCTGCAGTGTGGAAGTCCTCCATTTCTGCGCTTGGTAGTGCTCAATCCAGCCATTGGGTTACACCCTTTGCTGGTATCCTTTTTATGGATGTTGGGTCATCTCAAATACCAACTGATGGACATTGAGCAAAACATGGGGAATCCACCCTTAGAAACTGGTAAAGGGGGAGAACCACTTCATTCAAATGCCACTTTTGATTACCTTATTTGGGACAGGGATTCCATTTAATAAGTAAACTGTTGCCATTAGTTTCTAATGTTGTTTGGACTTTCTTTGTTGACAGAGGTTGTAAATGATGAGTTCGGGCAAAGACAGAATAAGCCGCGCAGGCAAGTTGAATTGCTATATAATACTACAATGATTATAGTTTGAATTTTATTTCACATGTACTTTAGCATGGTGCTGCAGCTCCTATGGTAGTAATTGGTTGGAATTTCATGCCAATAGGAAAGGAAAAATGATTGTTGGTATAGGCCGGATTGTAGATGATAGCACTTGATTATTTTTGCTGTGGTAATTAATGACAATTTTATCAATCAATTTATTTGTCCTATGCAGATATTCTGAGATGAATTTCGGCCAGTGAATTATTATATTTCTATGTGATGCTACTTGTTTGAATAAGCAGATAAAAGGTTCAGTATTTCCTAACCAATGCTTTATGTTCTTCTACACTTTCATTATTCTGATATGATTCATGATGCAGGCATCCTTCAGGCCCTTTGTTCTTTAGCTTTTGTTCTGGAGTACTTTGGGCGGCAATAGGTTTCAAGATTTTTTTTAGGTAATTTCATGACTTGCAGTCTCATCTTTTTTTTTTTTTTTTAAATGAATGCAGTCTCATCTTTAAACAGTTGATATTGTTGAAATTTTATTTTATTTTTTGGTTCCTGTCTGATTAGAGAGTGATCCTAAATTTTATTGGCATTTGTCTGAGCCGGAGAAGAATGATGGGGTTTAAACCAGTATTTTACTTTTATTTCAATCCTATCTCTACCTCTTGATTTTCACGGAAAAAGGTCAAGTGATGCAGTATGTTAAGTGTGTTGGGAAATGAACTCAAATTAGCTTTTGAAGTGCAGTTATGGGTGTGGACGAGATGAAGGTGAAATTTTTTAGTTGTTTACTTACTTTTGCTATAGGATTTTTCAAGTAAAACACATGTGAAGGGGCTCGCTAGGAATGTCTATGGCTTATTGCCACCCCTAATTCAGTTGTGAGAAACCAAAACCGAGGCAAACAGTTTAGGTGGCCTAATCATGTGTTAAAAGCGTAAAAAAAAAAAAAAAATCACTTCTCATTCGAAATTGTTCCTGAGTTTTGTCTGTGTGATTTGCTTTCGACTTTTATGCTCACATGCCATTTTCTTCCTCATCTTCATTGCAGTTATATAACGCCTGCTCACGCTGTATTCCATTAAAGAAGTTAGTACAGCTTGACGGGTGGCAGTTAATTGTTAATTGTGAGGTGAGAAAGTTTCAGTAATTTTGATTTCTGCAATTGTTACTCCATGTAGACGCAGTGAAAATAACAACAATTCTTGTATTCTTTAAAAGTTTTTCTTGCAGTTTGGTTTCTGAGTGAAGCTTGTGAGAAACATATGAATGCAGGCTTTTCAATAGGGCTATGGGGGGAAATATGATATAATGCGGCAGCTGAATTCTTACAAAGTTACTCTAATGACGGCTGTTATTAATGGAGAATTAAAGAAAATTATATGGATCCTGAGATATCCTTGATGTATCTAGTCCTATTTTCCTTTTTTACTAAGTGGGGGGTTTTTATTTTCATTCTGGTTTTATTGTTGTGACTTGAGACATTACTTGTTGGTTACACTTGACTTTTATTAATCAAAGGCGAAAGTAATGGTATTGACGTATTATTGTTATCCAAGACCCTTGAAAATGTCTTGGATATATATTTTTTTTAAACACAGATTTTGAGATGGGTTGTTCTGTTGATACATTGTAAGCTCGATCTAATCTTCCCTCTAACTGGTATTGCTTCCCTCGATAGTGTTTTTTTCCGTGAGTTCTGTATTTGATGTAGGCTAATCTGATTGGTATTTTTTGAGCATTTTTTGGAGGCATGTTTCCCACTGAGAATTTAACGTTGTCGCATATCAAGGCTTGGATTGAAATTTTCTGGTTAAGCTAATCCCCTTGCTAATTGATCCAAGTGTTGCGTAGGGATATTATCTTTTTTTTTTTTTTTCCAACTTTGCTAGTAAGCTTAACATCTTCATCGTGCCCACGTTTTCTATATTTTGGTTGAATCCTATGAGATTCATTCTTCTTTCTAGCAATGTGGCTCTTGGAAACATTTTTAATACAATTGACTAATCAACCAGATATTCCACCCCATCCTCTTGTGCATACTAAGATCAGAAACCGTGGAAACGTCTTGATCTCTGTTTAATAAGTTCTCGAGTCTCTTGACTCAATTTGCCATTTAGGTTTTGTTTGAATGGAAGGAAAAGTGATAAGAACATTGAGAATTGGAAATTAGGAAGAAAATTTTTTAAAATATTTTTTTATACTATTTTTAGGAGTTCTCTTCTAATTTTTCCCCCCTTATTTTCTCCCCATCCTTTGCAGTTATAATAAAATTGGCTTTTAGGATTCCTTTCACGGTCTGAGGAAAATTGTAATGTTTCTAAGGTTGCCTTGAGCAACATGATATTTAGGTTTCAAGACTGCTTATCTAGCAAAGCTTTATAGAAAGAGATTAAATGGCCCAGGTGAATTCTCAAGCCAACTCCTCTTTTCCTGTTTTCTCTGCACAACTTTTTCCAATTTTTTTAATTGGACCAATTTTTTTTTTCCCCATTGACTATTAACAAAAGGGTATCAGAAAGTTCCTTGGCACAAAAAGGTTGAAAGCCCAAGCAACACAACCCTAGGTATAAAACATGAACATTATCAATAAAAGTTAATTCAATTGGTAAGAAATTGATTTGTAATTTAAAAAATCATGAGACAAATTTTGCTATCAACATAAGAATTTTATTGGTGAGTAATTTAAAAATACTTTTGTAAGTGTTATTTGAGCTTAGAAATATGTTTTGTTTTAGTCCTAATGAGTTTTTAAGATTCAACTCACTTAAAATTTCTTTTACCTGATGGACACAAACCCTAATCTTGAGTCAGAGAAAAGCATGGAAGCACTATCAACTATGTCTGAAATAAGGCATAGGAGTTCAATGAACCACTTCATCCATTGCATTATTTTTTTAACAATTAATCTGCTATCTTGGGAGCATCCTCACTATTACCATACACTTTCACTTTGCTAAGTTGTTTGGTTTGATGGAAATTTTTTCAAAGAAATTGGTGTAGAAAGAATTGGTAGAGCAAAAAATAAATGGAATTGAAATTTAAATTCATGTCATTTAAGTAGTTTTGTTGAAAATGGATTCCATGAAAATCCAAAATCTATCATACCAACTTACCAAGAATCCAAGATCAAGCATCTATTCCCGATTTCATTTTCACGCTCATGATTTTTGCAAACTCAACAAGTCATTGATTGTTAAATTAGACCAATTTCATAGGATGTCGGTAGTAGGTATACCCTTGAAAAACATAAAATAATAGGAAGATTAAACATGTATTAATATTAACAAATAAGCAGGATATGATGATTAAGTAATACTTAACATTGAAATGTATCTTAGGCCCCTAACCCCCATATTGCTCGATAACAAAATCTGGCAACGTGCCAAAGAAGCAGAATTGCTTTTTTGGTCAAGAGTACAAATATTTTTTTTTTTTAAAGGAAAAACTTTCGTCCGAGCGTTTTCACCTGGCCTTGATACTGCATCAGAACTAAGAAGTGAACGTACGTATTTGTGCAATATAAATTGATAATGATGATGATAATTACTTTTGGAAATATTTTTTTATTTAAAGACCTTGCTTTATTTCTTATCCAAGCCGGGTTAGATAAGAAAAAGCTGTCAATTTCTTATTTGTTTCCACCAGTGTCTGCCACGTGTACTTGCTGCAAGATTCAAGCTGAAATCAAATCATCCTAGGCCGTCAGATTGACTGAACGGTCTGAATATCCTGGTGAGACCCACCGACGGTGTAAGCACAACCTTAAGATCCCAACCCTTAATAAGATAACCAATGAGATTAGTCCACGAGTCCAGTAAACAATCTAACAATAGTGCGGGGTACGGTGGTACTGGTACCGACCTTTTCCCACGCCTGCACAAATTCGCACGTGCAATCAATTCTCTCAGTCTCAGGTCTTTCCCTCTCTCTCCCATAGACCTCTCGAGCTTGTCACAGTACTCTCTCTCTCTCTCTCTCTCTCTCTCTCTCTCTCTCTCTCTCTCTCTCGCCTTGTGCCCTTTTCAAAGTTTTTCTTCTTCGAGGCTTCAACGTAAGCTCACGGCAATTACCAGAACTCGCGCGCGCGCATTCTAGGTGGCATTCGAAGCTCGGTAATCAAGAACTATATTCAAGAATGGTGATGTTCAACTTGAGGCAAAGATCTTGAAGAATTAGCTCGAATGCGTTAAACTGGATCCATGTAATGCCTGTTCTTTATCTTCTCCCTTTCAAGGAATAGCTCCTCCTAGCGTATAATGGGAACTGGATTTCGAATTGTTATTTCTTGCTTAATGAAAATGCATTAAGAAATCAGATCGGTTTTTATTTTTCTCCTTCAATCTATATTTGATACTTGATAGTAATGTTTTCTCTTATGTGGTCCTAGGGAAGATGGAGGCTCGAAGGGCACTTCTTCGCCATTTCTAGACAGTTTCAACTGCTGGCGGAATCGAGGTCGTAAAAGAAACGGAAGCTTGAATCAGCTGGTTTATATACTGCTTTGGTTTTTCTTGGAGCGTTCATATAAATAGCAAGAACGCACTTCGATTCTTTTGCCAATCCCAATTCGAAGAAAAAGTAAAGCATTTTACCTGTTCAGCTTGTTATATCTTTGGTGAACTCAGAGAACTGTCCGATCGTATTTTTCTAACAGCTTTCAGTGGGTAAGGTAGCTTGAAGTATTCCAAGAGATTCTCTGATGATTCTGTAGGAAATCCCACAATCGGATACACTTGCCAGTGGAATCAACCTTCTTTGATGATGCAATATCATTCCGGAAACTAATGGAGGAAAGCAACGATCGAAATTCTCCTTCAGCCAGGCCAGGTGGTAGTTTTAAATCGACTCTGTCTGGAAGATCGACTCCACGAAACTCTCCGTCATTTCGCCGACTAAATTCTGGCAGAACACCAAGAAGAGAAGGCAGAAGTAGTTTTGCTAGTTCCCTGAGGCTTCGTGGCAATCGATTACTGTTATGGTTGTTTCTCATTACCCTCTGGGCTTATCTTGGATTTCTTGTTCAGTCCAGGTGGGCACATAGTGATAAGAAGGATGAATTTTCGGGCTTTGGAATTGGAGGCAGGTTAAGTGACCCAAATTCAGATGTTGAGTGGAGTAGGCATCGTGATGTTGAACAGAGGAGGCGTCGTGATTTGATTGCTAGTGATAGTTTCTTATCTCTTAATAATGACACAGTTAAACATGAGGTGTGGGATGGTAAAAAAATGACAGTGGCTTTGGCCCAGAAAGAAGAGGGTGTTCCATCTCCTCGCAAAACAAGCTCCAAGAAGAGTAGACGTTCACGATCTAGAGGTAGAGCACGTCGTAAGCTGAAACCAACAGTGGAAGTTGAGAACAGTGATATAGAGGAGCAAGACTCAGAAATTCCTAAAAGGAATACTACCTATGGATTGCTTGTTGGTCCGTTTGGCTTGACAGAGGATAAAATTCTGGAATGGAGTCCCGAGAAGCGTTCTGGAACCTGTAACAGGAAGGGGGACTTTGCTCGTCTTGTTTGGTCCAGGAGATTTATCTTAATATTCCATGAGCTTTCTATGACTGGAGCTCCACTCTCTATGATGGAGCTGGCGACAGAGCTTTTAAGCTGTGGGGCTACTGTCTCTGCCGTTGTGCTTAGCAGGAAGGGTGGCTTGTTGCCAGAGCTAGCTAGGAGACGAATCAAGGTGCTTGAGGACAGAGCAGACCACAGCTTTAAAACTGCAATGAAGTCTGATCTAGTCATTGCTGGATCAGCTGTTTGTGCTTCATGGATCGGTAAGACGATGATAGAATTTTATTATGTACTCTTGCAGATAGAGCGTGCAATAATTTTAGGAATTCAATATTTACATCCAGTCTAATTGTTAAATTATTTTATTGAATTTTTACTTTGTATAATCATGCACTGTATCCAATCTCAATAAATGTCTCTTTGACCAAAAATAAGTCTCTATAAATGTCTCAAAAATTTACATTGTGAGTTAGAGATGATCAATAATTAACGTGGACATAATAAGCACTTGATTTCAATCAAGTTGATAGTAGAGGAAGTGAAAACGTTGAGTTATTGCTTCCTTTTAACTAAGGTTGTACCATTAGCAAGTTAAGTACCCTTGGTATATATGGCACGTGATGTATAAATCTTTTTGACGTCTAATTGTTTTCTTCTGCAAGACTTATGAGGAAACCATTTTCCTCTTCTGTGTTTCCAGAACAATATATTGAACATTTTCCTGCTGGTGCAAGCCAAGTTGCTTGGTGGATTATGGAAAACCGACGGGAGTACTTTGATCGTTCAAAGGCTGTCCTGCACAGAGTAAAACTGCTGGTATTCCTTTCTGAGTTGCAATCTAAGCAGTGGCAAAAATGGTGCGAGGAAGAAAACATAAAACTGAGATATCAACCTGCACTGGTTCCGTTGTCCTTGAATGATGAATTGGCTTTTGTGGCTGGCATTCCTTCTACACTTAATACTCCATCCTTCAGTGCTGAGAAAATGTTAGAGAAAAGACAATTGTTAAGAGATACAGTCCGAAAGGAAATGGGCTTGGCTGATAATGATATGCTTGTGATGACTTTGAGTAGCATAAACCCAAGTAAGGGTCAGCTGTTGCTTCTTGAATCCGCAAGCACAATATTAGAACATGGACGGTTGCAAGATAACAAGACCATGAAAAAATCATCAGATGTGGGAAGAGGTCTATCTACCCTGGCTAGAAGACATCATATAAGAAGTTTGATGCAATTGTTGAATGCTGACGACAGAGATTTGCATGATATCTCAAGCATGTCTTTGAACAGGTTACATGACCTATGAATATAGTATTCTGATTTATGATTATGCAATATCTTATGTTTAGTCATGGGACTTACATTGTAAATTTTGACAGTGCCAGAAGGAAGGCGTTGTCAAACAATGAAACGCCCTTGGAGCAATCTCTTAGAATTCTTATTGGTTCTGTCGGAAGTAAAAGTAACAAAGTGGATTACGTTAAGAGTCTTCTGACTTTCTTATCTCAGCATTCAAACTTGTCAAAGTCAGTTTTGTGGACTCCAGCAACAACACGTGTTGCCTCACTTTATTCTGCTGCAGATGTTTATGTTATAAATTCTCAGGTAATACATGGACATGTTATGCAAGTAGTTGTAGGGGACAATGCCTATGCATACACATATTTAGAACTGAGTACGTTTGTATGTGAATATTAGATTTGCTAAAGCAGTGTTAGGAGTGTGCATCTGTTTATGTTTTAATGTTACATAAGACAAATGACTCATTTCAATGATTTTGCAGAGGTTAGTTTTACTTTAAAATAATTCTATTTTGACCTAATATGATCAGTTTTTGCATTTGACATGGGTGTATTTTGATATGTGTTCTAAATTAATAGCACTTTCTGAAATATCAATAGACATATGATCAGTATTGTTGCTCCACTGTTCTTTAGCAATGTTTCACAATAACCAGATGCATTTGTGAATTACATTTCCACATCTGCCTTGTTCTTAATTGGACGCAAGTAACATAAGTGTTATTTGACATTTTTCACTACGTGACCAAAGTACAGAAAATAGTTAGACATCTTGGCAATTACTTATGCAGAATCACTATATTGAAATGTGTCTGATTATACTTGGATAGTCTTGGATGGCTTTCTCCTTTTTGAATTTCTTTCAAGCATTGCTTGCCTTTTATAACTCGAACAATTAAAAAAATCATTATATTGAACTAAAGGAATGTTGCTTGATGTAGTGATCTGTTGCTAACTAGAAAAGTAGTGAACAGGGACTGGGAGAAACGTTTGGGCGGGTGACTGTAGAAGCAATGGCATTTGGTCTTCCGGTACTGGTCACCAACTTGCTTTTCCTTCTGAATATTGTTACCTATTTGAGTTTAACAATGTATAATGAATTGTCCTCGGGTTGCTGTAATGTTGGAGCTGTTCCTGTTATTGTTCGGACTTCATAATGCTTTTGAAAGATCACACTTTTATGATATGGTACTACCTCCAGGCCTAGATGTAAAAGTGATAGTGAAATTTTAACTATCACTTGTTTTTAATAAATAGCTATCACTTGTTTCTTATAAATAGGCCCAGAGGTAGTATCATTGACAAAAAGAGCCTTTCAAAACATATATTGTACCAGCAACCTTTCATCGTTGAAGTTTAGGACATATTTTAACAAGCTTTACCTCATTAGGTGGAGTTGGCTATATAGATTGCATGATGCTTATTATATATTTTAACGTGAAACTAAGTTTCCTTCTTAATCTCACAATAATCATGGTGATTCTAAAGCATATGGACGGAAAACCTGCCTAAAACAGTTGCTTTCTGCTTGAGTTACAAGTTGCACTCTCAAAATGCTACTAACTTTATGCCCTATATGTTACGGAATGCATGTAGTCTATTTTTGTTTCAAAAGCAGACAGTGAATTTTTCATGACTTATCTTATGTACTGGGGTACGATGCTCATTGAAGATATTCGGAAATCTTTTTCTTCCATTTCATGGTTAGCAGTTTGAAATCATTCAGAGTTTTAAGAGCCTGAAAACAGTTGAAAAAGAATGCACTGTCTCTGGAAACCAGTGATCGTATTGCAGTGAACAATTTTTTTGTTTTTTGTTTTAATAACATTTCAGTGAACAATTTTCGTAGAGAAACTCCTATGTTGAATAAGAAGTATGGAAATTAGGGGCTTTCTTCCTCCTTCGTCCTGTAATTATCAATAAGCTCGCTGCATTTGGGATAGACCATTGGTGGGATAGGATTTCTGGCATTACTCGTATAACTGGTTCAGTGAAGTGGTTGGCCGTTTTATGATTTTTCGGTCACAGTAGGTTCTTTTTTTCCCTTGGCACAGGTGCTTGGAACAGATGCTGGAGGAACACGAGAAATTGTTGAGCACAATATTACTGGTCTTCTTCATCCTACCGGACATCCAGGGAATCCGATCCTTGCACAAAATCTCCGGTTTTTACTTGAAAACCGGTCAACAAGGGAACAAATGGGAATGGAGGGAAGAAAGAAAGTGCAGAGGACGTACTTGAAGCAGCATATGTACAAGAGTTTCGTAGAGGTTATTGTCAGGTGCATGAGAAGCAAATAACTGCGCCTTGTGCTTGCACTTTTCTCATTCTTTTATTGGATTCATATGAAATGATCTCGTGAGTTACTAAAGAGCATAAACCTTTTTCTCCTGCCCGGAAGTATCAGAAAGAGATCGGCTTCTCTGATTGTATTTTTCAGGAATAATATGTTTTATGCCTTTTTGAGGAGCAAAATATTTTGACGTTGGACTTGATTAAATTAGTGGTTTTTTGGAAATGAGGGAAATTAATCAAAGTATAAGAAACTATGAACAACATAATAGAAGCAAGAGAGGAATATAGTGATAGGAAATGGGGAGAATTCACATTCATGTAGATTTTGATGTGCCTCCAATCTTTTGTGCTCAGCCTTTATTTGTAATGTCATAAATATACTCAAGAATTACAATTTCATGAATATGAAAATTATCCTACATTGTGGTATAATATGAAATCATTGGAAGTTATAGGAATAAATATTAGAAAACCATCAATTTACAAGCTATAATTTAAAATGACATTAACCATGAGATGGAATTTTTAAAGGCTATGGAATTTTGGACATCCACTTATTATATTATTGATAACAAATGCTTAATTGTTTTTATAATTTGTCAATATATATAGTCTATCTTTGACCTCCATTACACCGTGTGTTTAAATCCTCTGTTTGTGTATAGACTTTGTTTGAAATCATACAAGCCATGATCCTATTAGGTTTTGTGTAATCATTTTTATTCTTTCAATATTCCTTTACACATTATATTAGACTTTGTGCAATTTTTATTATTCAATCACTCTTTCCACATTTGAATGGAATTCTAATACTTAAAAAAATAATGTTTGTGTGTGTGTGTATTAAAAAATAAGTTATTATCTTACCAAGAGAAAGATATCTTGTCCTAAAAGACATCAAACATTTTGCATATTAGAATGTCTACCCAACCTCAAATATTTGGTTCACTGCGAACGAGATAAACAGCAAAAGAAACATCAGGGGGTTCTTTCCAGCTCATAAGTACTGTTTATAAGGCCCAAAATAAATACAAATGATAACAATAATATGATCTCTACCATTTTTTCCTATTTAATATCTATAATTAGAATATATAAAATAGAAAATAATAAATACAAGTATACTTAAATAATGATGATGACAATATAATAAATATTTCATATTTTTAACTGAAAATAACCATGGAAGAGGTGTTGTTGTTATATATCTTCATGTTTAAAGCTGTCAATTAGGGCTAAGCCCATAGGGCTAAGCCCATAGGGCTGGCCCTTTTAAACATGAAAAAATTGAGGGCTGGCTGTTACTTTGAATTTTTTTTAAAAAAAGTAAAAAGGCCGGCCTTTTTAAATCATAATATATTTTTTTAAAAAAAAATAATAAAAAAATAAATAAAAAAGAAAATACCACATTACTCAAGCTTAACACTTACTTCTAATCTAAAGAGTAGATACACACATTATTATTTGCTTACTTTGAATATTTTTGCATTCTTTAAATACCTTAAAATTATGATTTTGATTTATTATTTATTGCAAAAAATGAGGATGAAGAAGAAAGATATGAAATGCTTAACATATTTACCATTGATGAGGATCCACAAGAAGAAGGATCAAATTATATTGATGTTGTTGATGATGATAAAAATGATCAAAATTTAATTGATAATGCTACTAACATGTAATTAATGTCGGAGTTAATTTTAGAACGTTATTTTTTTATCAGACTTAAAATTTTTATTGTGTGAATTGATTTTATTTTATTTTTTCAAACTCAATGTGATGTGTAATAATTTTGTTAGAATTTTAAATAATTTTTTTTAAAATTTTTAAATTGAAAAACTAAAAAAAATAATTAGAGTCCTCCCTTCAACCTTAAAGATTATGGTCAGGCTGTTAAAAATAAAGTTATGAAATATAATCAGACTTAAAAAAATCAGCGCATTTAAATCCTAATTCTTGAAAATCGGGCTTAATCGACACCCTACTCACGCCCTTCGTCTTTTTTGCGGCACAGCTACAGCCTTTGTAACGTTGACACACACGGAACCAGAGGGAAACAATTTGGGCCCACATGTGGCATTTGGTCCCTTGAGGAAATGCTAAGGACTGTATCTTCGTCAGTTTTGTTCCCCCAAACCAACTTACTTTAACGTACTTGAGAATTGTGAATAGTATCAACTTATTATAGACTTTTTATATATAAACACACTTTTTCGTTCATATACTGGATGGAATTTGATGAGGTTGTTTCACTAATTATAACTTATGAGTTATAAGCAGTACAACTTATTAAAATTTTTATTAAATACATTGACGTATTGGCAGCATGTATTTTGATTCAACATTAGCATTTAAGTTCTATGTTCTGGTCAATGATTCTCTCGTCTGGGAGATCCTGCTCTGATATACAGTATTCGATCTTCATCAGTCATCACCCCTATTTTAATTTCTCTACTCATGGCACACTTTTGTTGCTAATGAAATAGAAAATATATTCTGGTCACTTTGGTAAAGTAATTTATATTTTCCATTAATAAGTTCTGAAATCTGAAATTTAACCTTTCAAATTGCATGGACACAAGTTTTTTTTTTTTTTTTACCAACTTGGACATAACTTTTTTATTTTTATACATAACTATTTGATTGTATTAAATTTGGGTATTGTTAAAGAGAAATCTCATTTAATTTTTTTTTATTCACACACACTCGAATTTAAAATTTTATGTTTAAGCAGCCATCACCTTATGGCGGAAAAAAAAAAAAAGCAGTTATCACGTCTTTCACTAAAACCAATGTATGTTGAGGGATATAAAGTTTTCTTTTGTTAAAAAAAAAAAAAGAAAAGAAAACAATGAGCTTGATTAGCTTGGGAGTGGGGACATTATCAAAGGCCAATGGTCCAAAATGATTCTTCTTCACTCGCACAAACGCACACACAAAATTAATTCCTCTTTTGATCCTGTCGTTTATTATCAACATTTAAAACTAAATGAATTCAACCAAACACTATTTATTGATTGATCTGAAAATTAAAAAAAAAGGGCTAACTTTTCATGAAAAAAGAAAGTTTGCTGCTCAACACATGCTTCCCACTCAAAATCTAATCTTTAGAAAACACAAAAGTATTATTATTGTGTACTTGAAATTAGGGTGTTCACATAGAATGAGACGAGATTAAAATAGCCCTGTCTTGACTTGAATAATGGATGAGACTAAATTTTTATCTTATATCTCATCCTATCCTATTTAGAATTGGAATGGGGCATATTCTGATAAAATAGACAAAACGTAACAAAGATACATGTATTATAACATTTATTAAATTCCATAACATACCAAGTCAAGTACATAATAATCACACATAACTTTCACGTTACAAGCACTATAACAATAATAAAATATTATTGAGTTACATAACTTAAGTGAGTAGATGATTATGTAAATAAATAAATAAAACTTTAATTTTAATTGAATAAATAAAGTATTAAATATTAATAAAAGAAAAAAGTAAATATAATAATATATTTGGGAAGGGATTAGATGTCTCGAAAATGATTCCATGTCCCAAACATATTTTTGTCTCGTTTCACAAAAATCTTGCCTTTTTTTTCAAAGGATAAATTCCATCTCAATATGATTGAGATGAAATCAGGCCAATTGGCAAGATGAGGACAAGCATGAATACCTCAACATGGAACAATTTAATTAGTCATATATTTATTAAGGGGAAATAATTATCCTAACCATGCTTAAGGTATAAATTTTAGGTAACATCGGCTTCATTCATTATTAACATCTAATTTCTTTATTCCTCTACTTTTGGTAAGGGCTCAAATGTGACGACAACGTTAACCATTTTTCAACACATGGGAAACCATATGTTGTGTGGAAGTAAACTAGCTATACTATCTTCCTTTGATGAAGATGCTATGCTACATCAAAAATAAATTTAGGATCTATTTGTTTGAGTTTTTAAATAAAAGAATAACTTATTTTTTTGGAGAAAATTAAAGCACTTTTGATAAATTCTACAATGTTTGTTTAATTTTTTAAAAAATAATTAAAAGTAAAAAAAAAGCTTTTTTCTTATTATTTTAAAAATTATCTTAACTAATTGATAAAAATAATTAAATGTGATAGGTAAGAAGCTTTTTCATGAACAATACATCCACTGGCTTGTCTCCCTATTTGGCACAAATGAGTTTAATATTTTGAGAAAATTAATCTTTTAATCTTTCAACTTTTAATTCACTTGTAACTCAATCCTTCAACTATGACTCACTGTGACTCAGTCCCTCAACTATAACTCGCTATGACTTAATCCCTCAACTTTTGATTCACCTATAATTCGGTCTTTATTTTTTAATTTTTTTTAAAAAATTTCTTATCAAATAAGAGGAATAAAAAATATTCATATATTATTTTAAAATATCCTTCTTTTACTCATTGATGTGAGATATAAGCTAACATGAAAAAAAAAATTAACAAAAGTTCATGGACTAATTTGTAAGTTATTCAAAAGTTGAGGGATTGAGTCACAGCGAGTCATAGTTGAGGGACTGAGGTACAAGTGAGTTAAAAGTTGAAGGATTAAAAGATTAATTTTTCCTAATATTTTTCATGATCTTTCTCTTTTCCTGTCTCATAGTTCTTTAGACTTTTTTACTAGTTATATATAGTGAACTATTATTTCTTAATGCAATTAATTATCATTGATCTTTTTTGTATAAAAAGACCAATTTACCCCTATGTGTTTTTTTGCCTTCCCGCATTGCCCATCATCTATATACGCCGTGTAGAAAAGGCTAAGAGTTTGTATTTGCTTTTTCCACGCATTACTTATTCCTCATTTGGAACGTGGGAGAGTTTTTGAAGCAAGTAAAAATGGTGATACAAGTAGAAATAAAGGTTAAAAAAATATGAAAATGGGATTTAAAAATATATATGCTTGGTATATAAATAGAAAAGTAATATAATTTTATTTAATATATGTATTTATATTTTAAAAAGATCAAAATACTCATGAAACTAGAAAAAATCGAACCAACTCATGAAACAACACCATGAAAAGTTTAAGGACCACCATGAACCATCTTCAGAGAACAAAACTAACCATATGACTAGAGTATTCAATTAGCAGAGCATTCAACTAAGCTAAACATTCACACACAAGATGTTGAAAGTTGACGCTTATAGCTATTAAAAAAAAAAGGAACAATCATGCACATAATTGATATTTATAAAGTAAAAA